AAGTTGTCTTTTGCTTCTGCAATACAGATCTAAACTTCCAGTAAACTGTATTTCTATATGTTTGCCTGTTTTTATCCTAATGTATTTGGGTTGCTAAATAGCCAGTTGAGCCCTGGCTGTTTTCTTGGAGGAACCTGGCTAGCAACAATGTTAGGGAGGCTAGAGCATGAGGGACAAGCAGAAAAGTAAAATTTAGAGAAAGGCTTTAATGGTGTTTTTGCTTCAGTGCATGTGCTTGGTTGGTTGGCAGTTTTTTCTGAAATGGACGATGGTCACTCTAGTCAAATGGTGGCATTTTTTTCTTCTACCGGAGCGCAGCGGGACCGCGGGGGCGGCCGGTTGCCCTCGCTGCCGCAGGCTGAGGAGCATAAGGATGCCGGCTGCTGCCGCGCTAGCGGCTCAGGGACAAGCGGCCCGGGAGGGCACCAGTGCAGCAGGGTGTGCAGGGGGCTGTGGCCAAGGCTGCATCTTCCCCTGTTCACTTGGCTACCCCTGGTAACTGTGTGTGTGTGTGTGTGTGGAGGGGTGTCCCCTGGAAAGGGGCTCCCAGTTTCAGACTCCAGTGATGATCTCGGTGTAAACTTGTCGTTGAGGGTGAATGCAGAAGCTAGCGTAGGTGAAGTGATGAAATGGAAAAAATCCTTTCCTGTCCTCTGACCTTATTTGGAGAAATGAGTGGAAAGCGGATACCTGAATGTGTTTATGTAATCTGGGTCTGAGTCTTCACTGATGCTGACAAGCTGAGATGAGAGCTGCTGTTAGATCTGTAGAAAATGATGGAAAAGCCTGGCAAAAGGGATGTAGGTTTGAGCAGCTTTCTATCTGCACGTTTTTTCTTGGTTTGGCCTCGGCCCTGGATGACATCGTGGTTGTTTCCCCAAAGGGATTCTTCATGATTTTTTAATGCAGACTTCACTGCGAGACTTCTGACGTTGAAACAGCTTTTTGTAAGACTATGCAGGCTGCTTACTGCGGGTGTTCGTGTGCTCAGGCTGTCATTAGGAAATTCTTCTTTCCTTTCCTGCCTGGTATCGGAGAACAGCTCTGAGCTGCTGTGAGAAAGGCCAGCTCACTAGATCATCACCGTGATCCAGCTGCACCCCAGAACTGGAATCTTTTCCTTGCATTCTCAGCATGCAGTATTTGTTTCTGTGCACATTTGTATTAAACCCTTAATGCCTAGTGAGCTGTTGCTGGATGACTCTAAATGTAGTAACGTTCTTGATTTCTCCGTGCCCCCTTCCAAACCTCCTCCTTTGGACAGGGAGTCTTGCACGGAGTGTGACCCAGCCTGCCCTTCTGGATTTACTTTTCCACCACAGCTCTTTCTCCTTGCTTTGCTTTTAAGGGATGAAAGTAGACTGTTACTTTGTCGCACACTGGTATTCTAAATCACTGTATTTCTGATATTTATATGCGAGATTGCTTAAAACACAATGGGTGACTTTTATAACCTGCTGTATATGGCAATTGTATTTGTTGTGTTTTTAAGATCAGCCCAGGTTCTGTCAGCATCTATTTTTGGAATAATTGCATTGCTTGTCATAGTTTAAGCAGTTTAAAGACTTTGAGAAAATAATCAGTCAGCTCATCAAGTGAGATGCATGAGTTGTCTTTATCATAATGCTATTTTAGTCAGAGTGAAGCAGCAGTAACGTATCCCCTCATGACAACACAGAGAAGATGTTGACTGAGTGAAATACTGCATATGCTAAATTTAAGCTTTTGAAACCTCTAACCTTTTTTTTGTGCAAAATGATGTCCAAACATCATAGTGTTAATGTGCTTCTCAAAATTGTTAAAAGATGATTTTATTAATACTCAAGATTCTTAACATGTAATTACAGTTTTTGGCAAATAAGTACAGTAATATCCTTCAGATAACGAATGTAGAAATAAAATTCTAATTATATTGAAAGCTGCAACTAGTTACAATGAGTGTTAGACTTTCATATTATGCTTGGCCCTGCCATATTTTGCTTCACCACGTAAAGCAGCACTGCTGGACTTGTAGCCTCCATGTGCGTTTTGAATGTTAGTGTTATGACGCTGAATAAAAGACAAAGTAACCAACAACAAATCTTTCAGAAATTCTGAGATCCTTTATCTGATAGAAGGAGCCTTGTGTGCTCCGCTGGAGACCTGTGTGGTTTGTTCTTTGTGTTGGGACCTCTCGGAGCATCAAGAATCCCCTTAGGTACGTGCAGGGAGAAGGAGGGCCATTGTGCAGCACAGTGCGGCAGCGCGTTGCATCCCAGCCTGCTCCTTGGCTACGGGTTATGTCTACAGAATGAGCGCGTTTGGATATTGGAGGCAGCATCCTTAACTCCTAAACAGTGTGTCCCTCTGGCTTTCTGAGCTTAGAGTGACCACTTAGAGGGCTGTGTCACAGGATCACGCGAGGTTTAAGCTGAAAGGGAGCACCAGGGGGGTTATCTGGCCACCAGTGTCACAGAGCAGAGCCAGCGTCAAAGCTGACTTGGGTTATGGAGGCCTCATCCAGTCTTGAATATCTTCAGCAATGGAGATTCCATCAGCTCTCTGGGCAACCTGCTCCAGTGTTCCTTGTGAGCCCCCAGTATCTAGTGGGGGACTGTCCCATGTCTACTGGGGCTTCCCCTGCTGCAGCCTTTGCCTCTAGTGCTTCCAGTGACTGCCTTGGAAGCTGGTGCCTGTTTTCTCCTCACGTTCCCCCTGAGGTGCTGGCGGCGAGTGAGACTTTGCTCCAAGTGCGAAATCGCTGCTTGGGGCTCTCCAGCCTATAACCCTTTGAAACAGTTTTGTCTGAATCAGAATGAGCTCTGCAGTTGCACTGAAATATTCTCTTAGCATAGCTCTTGCATAAGTAAAAAAAGCATGTTAATAAAATGTAGCAAGTGTAGTTGCCAGTAAAGTACAGCTAAAAATAAAGACTGCCTTAAATTGATGCTATTAATTCTTGGATCAATATTACTAATGATTTATTTGAGTATATTTGGAAAACTAGCTTTAAATATAACATTTGGGCATCAGAATATATGAACTTAGAATAATTGGCATCTTTACTTATAACCCTTGCTTGCCAAGTGAGATCCAGTTTAGCAAAGTGCAGCGCTGACCAAGGCAGCCCAAGAGGAAGCTCCTGGCCAAGTCGGGCCCGCAGCGGCCGTCCCTGGGTGTCGGGGGCGGCACGTGGTGGGCACACGCATCCCTCCGGGCTGGCTCTGCTGCCAGCTGGGCGCTCTGGCGCTGCAGATCCGCTGCTGCTGGCGCTGACCACGTGCTTAGTTCCTGGAAGGCTTCGTTCTTTAAATTCTTTGCTTGGTGGGCCTGGGATTTCTAGGACGGTTTCAATAGGATGACTTTGGCCCAGAAAAAGAGAAATTGTGTTTAAGGAAATTTGTTGTGAGGAGGAGTTAAGGGAACACACTGTAAATAAGAAGCACAAAGAAGATGGAAAGCAGAGAAGAATACAAAATAGAAAACAATGACACAATGAAGCATTATAGAGAATACGAAAAGGCGGATGAAATAAAGCACTTTCACTTAGGGAGCTCTATTTTATTAAATGTATCCCACTCAAAGAAAATATTTAAGAAAATATTTTGCTGCTTTAAATTGTAAATGCCACAGTTTTGGGGTATGCAGTATAATGAGAGAAAGCTTGGATGTGTCTTCCAATCCACAGATCTAGGTCTTCTGAAGGATGTTTCATTTTCCCTCACAGGTATTCTGTATCACAACCCAATGTGTTTTTTTTTTTTTTTGAGCATTTTTGTTTTGAGCTGGTGGGGATAAGATTTATTATATTCTTTTGCTATTGAGCTCCTTCAGATAGCCAACTGTAGCAAACTAAATCAGTTTCCCTATCCCAACTTCTCATTTAACATTTAAAGGACTGGGTGGGTGGGAGTGCTGCTAAGCTTCCCATTTCCTTAAAAATACACAAATAAGAGCTGTCCATCAGCAGCCTCAGCTGTGAAAATCAGTGCCCTGAGATAGGGCTTTTTTTGCTATTGAAATTCTGCTGTAATTAGGCTCTATCAGAGGCTTGTGAAGGGATTTTTTTTCCTCTTTTGGATCTTAGCAGCTATTCTACAAGCTGCACTGCAAGAGTGACAGCCCCTGGTGACAGCCCCTGAGGAGCTCACAACTTTGAGGAAGTCAGCAAGTGCCAAAATAAATGTTGTCAGCAATGCTACTTCAAAGGAGGCTTCCCTTCAACCTTCCCTTCTTTTGGAAGCTTCTAACTCTTTGCTAGCCAGCTAGCTGCTCTCTCAAGGTGCTCCGAGTTTCCTTCAAGCTTGGCCAAGGCAAGCGTGGAGTTCTGTGCAGAGCTCAAGGTTGAAGCCTCCTGGATTTTCTGTGGCTGGCAGAAGGCCCTGTGAAGGCTTCATCAAAAATACCTCCTGGAGCTGCTGTTCCCCTTCTCCAGGCCTCAGTGAGGAAAGGGAAGCCAAAAAGCAGAATTGTCTGGGCCGAATTACCCCACAGTCTGTCCCTTCTGCATGACCAGGGGAAACCTGGATGGTTTGTAGCATTTTCATTGCTACATTTCCACTGCTTCAGTGTTCATCAGTAAAGTAACTGAATGCTGTTTTACCTACTTCTCTACTGCTTGGTTTATCAAGAGATTTTGAAAATATACTCTTATTTCTATTTGCTTTTGTAATGGGAAGCTTCCATTTATCCTAGATCTGTGGTATTTCTGCACTATAGAAGTTCATTTGGGGGATGGATTCTCTCTGTCTCTTCACAATCCTTTCTTGTGTGTATGCCACAGCTGCATACCATGTTCTCCTGCATGCAGGAGCATACATGCATGCCTGTTTCTCCTGTAATATCATTATTGCTTCTGTCAACTTTGGGTCAAAATAATCAGTGTCCCACTCCTTGTAAGGCATGAACCGTAAGCGAGGTTAGCTTATATATGCTCAAAGTCTTGTCTCCGACCAGTGAGAGCAGGGCACAAAGAAGATTAAAAATGAGAACTGCTGCAGCTTCTGTTCCTGTTACTGCAGGTGGCGACAGACAAGGTTGCAGGGAAGCTGAGCTCCACTCTCTCATGGGTGAAGAACACGGTATCGCACCGAGTCAGTCAAATGGCCAGTCAGGTGGCAAGTCCATCGGCCTCACTGCACACTACATCCTCCTCTACCACGCTGTCCACGCCAGCATTATCACCATCGTCACCACCACAGCTGAGTCCAGATGACCTGGAATTACTGGCTAAGCTTGAAGAACAGAACAGGTAAATAAAAAATTTACTAGTCCTGAAATCATAGAGAGGTGTTATTGCAGTTTCAGCATAGAGACTTCATGGAACAGCATCTTATGATTTTTGAGGCCATGGGAACTTGTGTTCCTGAACTATGTTTTTAGAAGTTCTTGTTTTGTGGAACTCTAAAAAGTGTTTTTCTCTTCTAGCTTTTCAAGAGTGTTTATAGCTGCCTCTTTTTCATGTGGCTCCAGTGTAAACTCTTACACTGGAGCCACATGAACTTCAATATTCAGCTTGAAATGAAATCTCTCTGGAATGAGAATTTCACATAGCTTTATCAGCTTTATAATAACTTTATCAGATATCTGAAAAGCTGAGGATTTTTGATTTCCAATTTCTTTATTTGTTCCACTTTTTTTTTCCCCACTGTTCTTGCTTTCTACTACATGTCTTGGTTGCTTCATGAGTCTCTAAGCACATCAGCTGTTTCCTAAGATATGCTGGCAAATTTTCTAGATGGAGGTTTTAAAAGCAAGAGCTGCTGTCTTTCAGTACTTGCACATTTTCAGGGCTCAAACAAAGTCCTTTGGTTTTATTCTGTAATTTAGTCTGTGAATAAGGTTATTTAGTACAGACATAGCTAATTAAGGAGGCTTCTCAGCTTCTCTGATGCCCAATGCCTGGTGAGTGCTCAGCCCTCTGTGCTTGCAGGAATTAATAGCTGCTTCCCACTGTTAACCCTGGTGGTGAAAGGTGACACAATGTCCGTTTCACAATAAGGAAATCCCTTGTCTTTTCATCGTGATTTCTTGTTTAATGTTTTGGTGTGATAGGCAACAATTATTTGACTTCTTGTAATATGGGGTTCTACGTGACTGTATGTTAGTAGCTCGTCAGAGATCAACTTTAAAGGAGAACCTGAACTCCAAGTAGTCTTTAGACTAGATAGATAGCTGCAGAGCTGTGATGCCTTGGGTTGCAGACTGCTTTCATGCTGCAGTGAGGTGCACAGTTTGACAGCTTAGCTCAGACTCGCTTCTGCTCTAGCTGCCGTGATAATTTGTTGGACTTTGCGCCAGGGCAGCTGAGCAGAACTCAGGTTTTGTTTTGTTGATGCAGTTGTGAGGGTGGAAACTTCTACTAGAGGGAGAAGACTGAGCAGGAGGAGGGCTGAAGTGGCTCTGCTGGCTCGTTGCCCTGTGTTTGTGCCTTCTGCCCAGCAGCAGTGAAACTTGTTGTGAATGCTGTATCTGCCCAGTCCTTGACTGAGAGAAGATGGCAGGTGCTGTTACAGCGTTATCCTCTTTCCCTATGGTATTATCTCTATGGGAATATCTGTAACTTTCCCAGTGCTAGCAGTGAAACAAAACTTAAAGAAAGACATATAATATTAAATGAAGCTGTAAGAAAGATTTTGAGTTGACCAGAGACTTTCAGTTCGGTTAAAGGCAACTTTCAGCTCTGTTAAAGGAGAGTGACTAACTTGCAGTTTAAAAGCAGTACTTGTTCTTTGCACTGTGCATCTCTTTTAGGCTACACTTTTTTGCTTCTAGCCTTGTCATCGTAAGTCTTGGAGTTAGACTAGTTTGCTTGCTGTAAGCATTTGAGCCTGGAGTTGCTGGTGTTTCTTTTTCAATCTCGCTTTCTTTATTTAGTAAGTTTGTTGTGGAATCTTGTCTCATTCTTTTCCTCCCCACCTGATTTTAAACAGATTTTTCATTTAAGTCCCCTTTTTTATTGTGTATGAATTCTAATCAGAGGCTTTTCTGTTAGATAGTTCATACCAAATGTGTTACTGTACCCTGAGACAGAGATCTGATGCTGCTGTCGTGCAGGGCAGTTCTGGAACAGTCTGAATCGGCATTTTAATGCAGTGACTCTTTGTTGACCAGGAATAAAAGGGGGCTATTTTTTCTGCTTGCCAGAAGAATTACCAGCAATGGATATTTTTGAAACTTCATTTTCATTATTGACCTTTATACAAGTAAGGAGAATATGGGTTAGGTGAGCAGACTGGAAACTGGGCTAACTCAAACTTTATCAAACTGTGTCCTGAGGTATTCTGTAATCCAATTACATGGAAGTCCTCTAAGTACACTGAGGTAGTTCAGTCCAGAGTCCTGATAGAGCTGTTTGGCATTAGTAAATCATTTATAAAGTTTTAGGAGAAAGAAGGCAGTCACCACAGAACTCGCATACTACTCACTGCAATGGAAACTTCTTACTAACAAATCTAAGGACAATGAGTTTATCCAGGTAAGGTCAAATTACATAAATAAGCTTAACTTCTATAAAAATCTGTGAAACTAGAAGTGACTAACTGCTAGTGACTGTTCTGTAGTTGTGAAACCTGCCTGTTCTATCTGGGCTTATTTTTCCTCTGACTGCTTTGCATTCAGTCTCTTGCCACATGTACAGACTGAGGAGAAGGAATTCGGACCTGCTAATTCTGGTTATGGATTGGTATAGGCCAGGTTTCTAATCACTGAAAATGTTTGAGTTCTTCTCCTCAAACTAATTTCTCGTTTCCTTAATAAGAACTAAATTAAAGCTGCTGTCTTGAAAAAACTTGATGTTGAAAAGCTACTGCTGTTTAAATTTTTTTCCTCCAGAAGCATGACGTAATATTGCTGAAACCTTAATTATTTTCATGGATCTAATTACTTTGTTTTATTTTCAAATTTCCTAAATACTAATAGGTGGGAACATGAAACCTCGTGCAAGCTCTCAGCTAAAACTGATTAAAAAGCAGAGGCTGATTTATGGGGCTCAGTGTTGGTTGAGGATGACCAGGTCGTTTTCCCAGAGCCCCCGGTCACTGCAGGCCCTGGCAGGCTGCTAGTGAGACACGTGGATGCTGTTCCTGGCTTCCTGAGGGGAGCAACAGTGCAGGAGGCAGCAGGGGCTGTGCCCAGAGCTTGTGGGGAACATTCCAAGAGCTCAAGAAGAAAGAAAAATCCTGAATAATTCATCTCTTCAACTTCAGTACAAAGAGATCATGAGGAAACTCTTCACTGCACCTTTGGGTGCATTCTTTGTTGAGAGTTTGGAAGAATTGATTTCTAAACAAATAATGCAATCATGTGATTAGAAAAACTGGTCATTTGTTTTTGTGCTTTGCAGGCTTTTGGAAACTGATAGCAAATCTTTGCGATCAGTAAATGGCTCAAGAAGAAATAGTGGATCTTCTCTTGTGTCTAGTTCATCGGCGTCTAGTAATCTCAGCCATCTTGAAGAAGACTCATGGATCCTTTGGGGAAGGATTGTAAATGAATGGGAAGACGTACGGAAAAAGAAAGAAAAACAAGTTAAGGTAGAAGTCACTAAAGGACAAGATAATGTGATATAAGTGATCCTATTTTCTCTTCTAATTTTTTTGATACAAATATGTAATAGAAGCTCCCTAAGAGCTGCCTATATAAGTTATCAGACTTCTCAGTTTTGTCCAGTGAATAATACCTAATCTTTTCAGCCTCTTTCTAATGATGAATTCCTTGAATACAGGGAAGACTTGTTTTATATTGCTAGAATGGTGTTGTATTTTATATTCTGTACTGAAAATGCATTTAAGAGCATATGACAGCTTGCCCTTTGTATATAAGGATGCTATGACTATTTTTTCCCCTGTCTTTCTAAAGTATTCTCGTTAGAGCTAATTATATTGTATAATATTTAGTTTCTAGGTGCATGTCAGGTATGTTGGCCTCAGGGATGACACTAAGTATAAGAATATGTAGCTGCTGAATTCTGATGGATTAGACAAAGTTGGACCCGTTTGTCCAGTCTGGGTCTGTTGTGGGCATGTACAGAAGTAGATTTCAACAATATTTTAAACCCAAACTAAAATACATCTAGGTCACTTCAATATATCTGTTTTTGGAAGCCTGTTGATTGCAGCAATGTGGGTTTTGTTCATAGGCAAGCTTGTTCTACATTGGTTCTTTATTGGCACTAGTCTGTAGCTATTTTATGTGCAGAATACAAATTTCAAGGTCTTTTGAGCAGTTCAAAGAGTGTGTGAATAGGTTGTGGGAAGGCAGAGCAAGGATAAAGTGAAGTGTCTGTTATGTGAAGCGGTTGTAGAGAGAGCATGACTTGGTTGTGGAGAGAGCAAGAAGGGAAGAAAATGAATTCATGGCTTCCCTCTTGCCCAACAAAAACAGTTTATGGAAAAGTGTTCCCAAAAGGCCATGAAAAGAAAGTCACATGAAGCTGGCAAGAGAAAGCAGAAGTGAGGTTAATAACAGAGCTAGGTAGATAGAATTCCATATTAGAACTGCCTGCATTTGAATTTTCTTTAGTGTTTGAACTCATTTTTACAGTTGAACGAGTATAATTTGAGTGTTCCACTAAAATTCAGTAAATACTTAAATTGCTAGTCAGTTTCCCTTGCTGTTCAAGTTGACTTTTGACGAAAGAATGAGAATTATTTCAACTTCATTATTCTGCATGTCGAGCAGAAAGAGTATCCTTATGTATTTCCCAGTTTTGCCAGTAGATGGGACTTCAGCTGCAGAACTGTCTTTTTGACTGGGGTGAGGAGGCTGGTGCTAAGCTGATATCACAAATATCTGCTAGTTTTTGAGGTTCTAGACGTACATGTATTTAAACCTATGGCACATCATATATGCAGGAAAGTGAAGTAATATATGTTCCATCCTTGTCTGACTTACTTAAAACCTCTGTCCATATTTATGGAGAGATGATCTCAGAAATCCCACTTCAAGGCTGTAAACCGTGTAGAGGAACATGCCCTTAGTGCTGCTTCCTAGGTGTGTTTTTCCTGGGACACTCCTGATATTCCTTTAGGAATGCTGGAGGAGTTAACCCTGTTACTTGATCAAGCAGGTACATGGTAATTTAAGGTAAGAAACCCCTTTCTAGTACTTCCTTATCAGTAGCCCTTGAGGTTTAGTTGACTGATGTTATTTGTGATACGACAGCATGTTGTATCAACACAGATATAGAAAGATGATGTTACAGCCGCTATCTTGGAGTTAGAAACATTTCAGGAAATAATGCAGGGAGTTATAGCTGAGTAGCAGATGGGGTACGTGTTTGTAGTGCTATCAGGTTATTAAGGTGGTTCTGAAGAAGGCTGGAGGTCTTAGGACTATCAGAAAATTGAGCTAAGTGCTACAGAGGTGCAGAACTTGAGCAGTTGTGGAAAGCAGCTGAGGTAGTTGAGAACTTCTTTCTCCCTCTTTCCTTAGGTCCCCAAATTTCTAGATGAAAAAACTAGCATCCTTTCTATTTATGCTTTCTGAGAAGATGACCAACAAACTGGCACATGCCTGGTTATTGTGGCTTCTGGAGTCTGGTGCTTAGATTGATTTGGCAATCAATCGCTTGAATTGTATCCTGATTTTTTTTTTTTCTTCCCTAGTCCAGGAAATTTAACATGAAGTTAATTCATGAGGAATGAATTTAATGTTTTATTGGTAGTTTCTGAAATCTTTAAATACTTAAGAGAACTTGAAAAGGACACACCAGGTAAATTAGGCCAAACTTGTATCTGTCAAATAGCTTTTGGTAATAGTATTGTGTGATTGTTTTGCTGCCTGTCTTGCAATGACCATTCCTTGAAAATAAGGATATTGTCATTAATATTTCATGAGACAAGAATCTTGATTGTTTTCCATGAGAGGTGAGTAGCTGAAAAAAATTACTTGAATATTCAGTTTATTTAGTTTACTGTACATAAGAAAGTATTTTTATTTGCCACTTCCCCCACCAAAAAAAGACTTTGGCTTCTTTCTTCTGCCAATAATCTGTCCGATTAAGTCAGAGTTAATGTTATGAGCTGCATAATTTCTTTTGCATGAGATAAACTCATTTCTAAGTAATGAAGAACTTCATTTGTTGCAATGTTTTGTTTGAAAGCTGCTCTGTAGACCTGTGTGTTTATCCTTGTAGGAAATGCTCATGTCTTTGCTGCTGTTTCTCCCTGCGCCTCCAGGAGCTCGTGCGAAAGGGGATACCCCATCACTTCCGCGCAATCGTGTGGCAGCTCCTGTGCAGCGCCCAGAGCATGCCCATTAAGGATCAGTATTCAGAGCTCTTGAAAATGACCTCTCCTTGTGAGAAACTAATAAGAAGGGACATTGCCAGAACATACCCTGAACATGATTTTTTTAAAGAAAAAGACAGCCTTGGACAGGAGGTTTTATTTAATGTAATGAAGGTAAGGCAGAATCTCATGATCCTTGAAAAAACACTGACAAGAATGCTAGCAGCAGAGATCTGGAAAATGATTTGCCTCTGTATCTTGAACTTGCATCAGTTTAAGCGTATAACTCTTTTGGAACTCTTTCACTTGGCACTGAAATGGTCTACCAACTTGTACTCCAGTTTCAAAGATGGCTTTGAAATATTTCTCTATTAGTATTTAAATGTTTTAAACCTCTTACCACCTTGTTAGCAATTTACATTTAAATAATGTCATGCTAACTGCTGACAGAATAATGGAATGCAGTGTGCTATAAAGTGAAGCAGTAAACAAAGTTCAATTAGAGTTGACTAAGATGAGGATGTTGTAAATCAGAGCTGGCACTGAGCTTTCAGGCATTTTTGAACCTGTGTGAGGTAGCATAGAATGGCAGGTACTAGGTAAAACGCAGTTGCAGAGAGCCCAAGTGCAGAACCACTGTGAAATTGTGTTTTTTCCTTATATTGCCTCCACTGGCAAAGACAGACTTTATCTATCTCACATAGTTTCAACAGAAAAGTTGGCAGGATTTCAAATCTTAATAACATCCCTGGCTCTCAAAAGGAAGCAGCAGCCTTCTGGGGATGAGCAATCCCTTCAGCTCTGCGCAGAACCCGTGACTGCTCCGGGAAGGGCTGTCCCCCTTGCTGGGGATTTGTCTCCTGCTGTTAGAGCAGAGGCTGGTTAGGGAAGTAGGTCACCTTGTAGTGCAGTTGATAGGGCAGCTGGCTGTGGTGTCCAACCAGACTTGGCAAGCTCCTCTGGCACACATGGTTTTCACGTATACTTTAGTTCTTTGTAGGCCATTAGAATAAGGCTTATATTCCTTTGGAGCAGCAGGTAGAAACTAGAATATCTTGACTATGATTTTCTTCTGTTACTCACAATGTCTTCATTGTTCAAAATCTTAAAACTTTATTTTCCAGGCTTACTCATTAGTGGATCGTGAGGTTGGATACTGTCAAGGAAGTGCTTTTATAGTGGGATTATTGCTTATGCAGGTAAATATGGTATTATAAAAGTGAGATCTTTTAAACTGCTGTGAGATTGCATAACTGTATGGAGTGTTTTGTGACGGCAATTCTTATAATAGCTTTTTAATTACTTTTTACAAGGGAGTTAAGGGTAATCGATTACTCCAAATCAGAGTATATTTATATTCTGTGCTTCTGTCCTTGCCAAGAAGATGAAACTTTTCTGAGTGGGAGAATGTTTATTTCTCAGAGCTAACATAGGACTGCAGATTTAAAAGTTATTTAAAAGGGGGGATTTTTCAATTTTGGATTTTATCTTTGTTTGGAAATCATTTGGTGGGATACGGTATCTACAAAAGTTTTATTATAGTAACTAGTTATAAATCTGTTAAATACAACCCTTCATTTTGATACAGCTTTATATTTGTCCACCATTTTCACTGTGCCTTTTTAATATATTTTTAATATAGATGCCAGAAGAAGAAGCATTCTGTGTGTTTGTTAAGTTAATGCAAGATTACCGACTACGAGAGCTGTTTAAACCGAGCATGGCTGAGCTGGGCCTTTGTATGTACCAGTTTGAATGCATGATACAGGTACTACAAACTCTATTAAACTTTCTCTTTAGTGGTAAGGAAGGAGCAGTGAGCAATACTTCGAGACTACAGACCAGCAGGCATGGCTGTTGGTTGAGAAGAACTAGTTTCAGGGCTTGAAGTAAATGTGTGTGGCCGTATGATCTCCTTTTTAATCTTTGTCAGGCAGTGTCTGGCCTTAAACATGGAAGCATAAGGACTTGCATTGTCACACATTAAGCATATGAATGTCTAATTTGGGGATCCAAGACTCAGTTTATACTGCTGCTCCCTTTTTTTAATATAGTTCTCAATATAGTTCAGAAGGTGCCCTTATGCACAGAAGCCAGCTGTGCTGCCAGGTCAGAAGGACAGACAGGGTTTGGGCTTTTGTCATCTGCCTTTTTCTTTTCCTTTCCCTTCCCTGGGAGGTTGCACAACACATTCCCTGCTAAGAGGCAGGGCTCTGGGAGGACCTCGGTCTGTTCCAGCTGTCCCCCTGTAGCCATTTTAGATGTGACTTAGGGAAATGCAAGCCTATGACTCCTCAGTGAGATCAGGAAATGTTTATAGTAACTTGTGCTGCGTAGGGTGGAAATGTTCCATTCTCTACTAAACTTCAGCTGTGTAGTTGTTATCAAAATGTCTCTTCTAATGATGGGTTGTGAAGCTGTTGCTAGATTCATCTCTACTGAATATTAATATTTTTATTTCCAACTTTGTCAAAACCACACAAACTACCACTGGAAGATTAACATGTTTTTTTCTGAATCTGCTTTCCAGGAGCATCTTCCAGAGCTTTATGTGCACTTTCAGTCTCAGAGTTTCCATACTTCTATGTATGCATCATCATGGTTTTTAACTATATTTCTTACAACTTTTCCACTACCGATTGCAACAAGAATATTTGATATCTTTATGTCTGAGGTAACTACTTGATAGTATATGTTCCATTTCAAGAGTAGTTTTTTTTAAAGAGTTGTTTATATAGTGGTATAAATTCTACTTAGATGGGCAAATCTGACAAGCAAATTCTTGCTTTTCAGTCCTTATGCTTATTGGAGTATTTTTGATAGGGGAAGATGTGTGTGTGATAGCCTACCACGGAAGAGAATACACCTATGAGTGTATATCTTGTATATGCAGTTTTGTCCTATAAGTGCACTGAAAAGTTACCAAATCTGCTGCATGTTTTGTGTGCAGCATCGAAAGCATTTTCTACAGCTGGAGCGTCAGTTTCTGGGGAATACAGTGAGTGGGTGGAGTGAGGGTGGGAAACAGGGCTGCTTTCCAGCCGAAGTTAAAGCTCTCTGAGGATAGACAGAACAGGAAGCAGCAGTGCTGGAAGTTTTACAGAACTGTTGAAAGGAGACAAATACATGTATTTATTCAGTAGGGTTATCAACATAACACCTAAAGCTTTAATTCTGAGTATGCCTTAAATGGCTGTAGTTGGTAACAAACTAAAGCCTGCTCTTCCTCTAGAACCATCTTTTAGAAGACATAAAGTCAAAGGTGCATCCTTTCAGCTTACACTCAAATGTCCAAGGTACTCGAGTCGAGCACTTCTGTCGATTTAAGCAGTTTAACTGTGGGTGCATCATAGCAGAAATTAAACTCCTTTTTTGAGAAATATTTTTCTGGTACCAGATATTTAGAAACAAATTTAAAAAAAAAAAAACCCAAAATTGCATAAAAGCTGATGTAAAGAACATGTGTAGCTCGAGGTTTTTTTACCTCTGCCTCTGAGCCTCTGGTCAGTAGCTCAGCCTGGTTAGTTCTTGGGGCAAAATAAGGAAGCCAAGACCAACTCCCCACTCCCCCAGCTGGGTGATATTTTTTTCTAGTGTGATAAATATTAGATTCATTATTGTTTTATACTGCTGAAAATGCTATAAATGACTGCTAGGTATTTTCTTGAACTCTTTTTTTTTTTTTTTTTTCCCCCCCCCCCCCCCACTCTCCCCCAGGGTTTAGAGATAGTATTTCGAGTAGGTTTAGCAGTGCTTCAGATGAACCAAGCAGAGTTACTGCAACTTGACATGGAGGGAATGTTACAGGTAAACTAAGGTTACAATAATAGATGTCTGAAGTACATGTGAAATATGTATGTTTTTCTGCTATTATATGTAATCTTGTGCTCTGATTGCTTTTAGCACTTTCAAAAGGTCATTCCACATCAGTTTGACAGTGGTCCAGACAAATTAATCCAAGCATCTTACCAAGTCAAATACAATGCAAAAAAGATGAAAAAGTAGGTATAACATTTTGAGAAAATAGTTGATACTGTTGCCAAGAGTTACTCTTTGCTTGTGCATCTTAAACTACTTAACTTAGCATTTTAGTTTATTTTTCTTGTCTAATTTTTTGAGATATTTATACTGTGAGCAAATAAAATAGATTTATCAGCCAGAGAATTCTTCTAAATCAATATTTGTTGTTTTCTGAAATATAGTAGTGTTATCTTGTGTAAAAGTACTTTTGAAGAAAGCTGCAACTTCTGTAAAAAGAAATTGAGGAGCATCAGCAACTTTTGTGAAAATAAATAGGGCAAAGGAGGTTAAATTTCACTGTGGTCTTGATTCTTAAGATTTACCTTTTAAGGAACTGCAGAATTGTTCACACTGTTAGAGAATTTGTGATCTAGATGAGGTCTGGTTAAAATCTAAATTGATTGAACTTTTGCAATGCCTTTGAGAACTGGAAAAAAAAAGATGTACTTCTCTCTTCTGTCATATATAAATACGTATATCAATATGCTTTTTTTGCGAACTCAACCTGCACACCTTGTCTTTTTTTCAACTTCAAGTTTGGCATTTCCTTCATATATAAGCTGGGCCCTTGGCTGTAGTGCACAGTCTATTTGGTGTTCCTGTGTTGTGGGTTGTACTCAGCCCTTGCACGTTGCCCGTCCTTCTATCAGCAAAGTGTGACCCATGCTGGACAGTAAGTCTGTACTCTCCAAAACAGTAGTAGTAACACTCAGGGCAAATGCTTTCTCTGAGAGCCAGTATAAATGTATGTAGCTTATAGCCCTACTATTCTGAGTCTGAGCACACCTCCTTGGTTGCTCCCCATAGAGGCAGTGTATACCTCAGCTTACGTTTCTTGCCTTAAGCCCAAGGAGAACACAATTTAATACAGTGGGTTGCTTTTGGTGTAATTACATTGAGTTGTTGTTACGAAGTAGCTCCAAATCATCTGACCTGCAGAGGCCTGTGTTATCAAGGCTACACAAGCAGGCAGCTGCATTTCAGGGCACTGGTGCACTCTCTGTTCATATCTACAAAATCCTCTCCTGGTGTTTAAATTAGTGCTAATGTCCAGTCAAAATATTTATAGGAGTAGTATGCTGGCAAGTCTAGTGGTTGGCTAAACAGAGGAGATATCCATAATTTATATGTTTGTTTTTGCTGTTTTATGTTAGACATTACACCAAGTAAATGGTCTGTATTTTTCTCATCATCACTTACTTTCTGATTTTTTAGGTTAGAAAAGGAATACACTACAATAAAAACAAAAGAAATGGAAGAACAAGTTGAAATTAAAGTAAGGTTTAGACTCAACATATTTACTTTTGGAGAAACTGAATTCCTAGCTGTGGGTCACTTGCAGGATCTATGTCCAGTGGGATATGTTGTAACGGGGGTTCCAAAATCTCCTCTGAGCTTTTGTATTTCGATTGACTGCTCATAAAGGGCAGTTCATAGGAGAAATATTGAGGATTCTGGTAGTCCCAATCATGGGTAGAGAACAGCTGAACTTACAAAAGATTTATTTTCTATTGATTAAACCTTGATTACAGCAAGCCTCTTTCAGAGGTTCCAAATATGTTGTTTCAGACGTAGGCGTCCCAGGTGGGAGGCTTTGGAAAGCAGCTCTATACAGTGAAGTCATGGGAATGGTTTCTTGTTGAGTTTGAGATCTTACTTTTTTTTTTTCTCTGCTCTTTTCCCCCATGCTTTGGATCAAGGTTAAGTGTCTTCTATAAGCATTTGTTTTGCTGGTTTTGGAGCTTCTGCAATTGAGGCATAATGTTGGTAGATCTGAGAGTTAAAAACTTTCCAAAACAGAGTTTATTTCCCTTTTACTAACTGACCTACTTCCTGTCTCCTCTAATCACTCCATCTTCTTTTCATGATACAAATGGGCTTTTGTCCATGTCTCTTGCCCCTTTTTATTTATTTTATTAAATTGTAGTGTTTAAACTGGATTTGCTTCCTCCTTGTACTGTGCTTCTTGGAGAGATCCCCAAGCAAAGGCAAGGGGAGAGGTGAGGCAGAGGGGCTGGTAGAGGACATTCAAATTGTGTCCTTGCTTCTTCTCTCCCACGAGTCATTTTGCCTCTAGATGTTTCCAACACCTTGATCCTTCAGAAGGCGGCAGTGATGTGCACCTAGGAGCAGCATCTGGGAGCACAATGGTGTCCTAAGCCTTTTCCAGCAGGTTTTCTTTTTCCTGTGACAACAAGATAGATGGTGACAGTATCTAACCTCTGTCAAGGATTGCTGTGGTGGCTTTTCAGATGAGATTAGCAGGTCTTAAAAGCCATCTCTATGCAAGATGGGAGAGAATGGTGCCCTGAAGACAACTTTCTATCTGAGGAATTTAGCTAATGTTTGAAATTATTCCCTGCTTCCCTAGTTGGCCTTACTGAAAAATGGCAACAGCAAACAAACAAAAATTCCCAAACCTCAGCAAGCCCAAGCAGAATGTTATTGTCTGTTGTGAAGGGGAGTTGAGTGAGTGCCAACTTAGCTGTATAAGATTCAGTTGTTGCAATTTTTTTATAGGACTAACCCTCTAAGTGCTGAAAAGCTCTTGTATTTTATGGAAATGAAAAACAAACATGTTGAGCATCTCCCTTACCCTGGGAGAATAAATCACTGCTGAATGTGTGTTTTCAGAGATACAGATGTGTCTGCTTGAATACTGACTGCTACAACTTATAGAAAATATCTTACAGCTTTTTGGTTCAATTATTTCTCACATTTGAGCTAGGTGAAGCAAATTTTCAGTATAGCTTCCTGCAGATGAAATAAATGTAGTTATGCAATTCAACATAAAGTAGTGGTAGGAAAGGAAGGAAATCTTTTTACTCTGTGCTTCACTTGTACATGCACTGCTTTAAACTAACACATAGACTTAATATCTTGTTTTTGCTGAACCAAGCTGTTTAAAGCTCTTTTGAGTTAGTACATCATAAAGAATATTAAAAAGATAATTGCAACTTATTTTGTGCTTATACTTAGTTTTTTGTAAGTGTGGTAATCTTAGGTTATAACTTGGGTTTTTATCAGACTTTAATTTGAGAAACTTGAATTGTTTTCCTTGCAGAGGTTACGAACTGAAAACAGACTTCTGAAACAGCGCATCGAAACGTTAGAAAAAGTAAGTATGTGGGTGATGACTTAATTTATACTACACAGGAAAAAAAATGAAGTATCAGATGGGAATCTTGTAATGACAACTCATTAGTTCTTTTCTGCTGATCTGCAGTATTTACTAAAAGTTCTTTGCCAAACAGCAAGGCAATAACAGTCCAACAATTAAGCTCACTGCTTTTAAATATGTAAATCTGTTATGCGTGGGTCTTGCTGAATGTATGAAGCTGAACATTTTGACATATGCCAGCTTTTCTCACACCATATTGCATTTTTTCTTGAGAATTACAAGAGTTGCCTCAAAATACAAAAGAGCACATGAAATAGTGGGGTTCTTGTGTGGAAAAGAGGTTATTGTGAAAGAATTCTTGCTTCTGAAAGGTACTGGATTGTTTTTATGTAAGAGTCACCTGAAGGACCTACCAATGACCAGAGAAGTGGAGATGAATGTGGGTTATTTCACTGCTGGCTAATGCAATAGTTGCAGCAATCAGTCAGCATGGGAAGCCTGTTGCCTTTACTCTGTCTTGCACAGGGTTTTTTTTTTTTCCAGTTTTGGTTTGAAATTGAAATATGAGGAAGGGGAGGGGCAAGCTGTTAATTTTTCACGAAGTGGAATCTAGCATAAATTTGCATTAGGCTTCCTGTAACAGGGTCTAACTTTCAATGTATGACTCTGACGGCTCTTATGTTGCCCACATGCTGGCATTGCTCTCTGGCCCCTCCTATATTTTGGATCCCGTACTTCTATCGCAGGTTGCATTTGAGCAAGTCTGGTCTAGAATGAAAACATTATCTGCCTTATCTGGCCAAGTTTGCTGTCTTTCTCCAAATGAAATGAAACACTTGAGTTGCAAACAGTTGTTCATGCCTCATGGGGAGGGAAAGGGCAGAGATTCCATTTCCAGTGGCACAACTGAAAGGTGTCACTTCAGGCAATAAATCTGTTACAGTTTCTCCAAGAAACTGTCAGCTGGGCTACACTACAATGGATTACAACTTGGAATGTCAGCTTGGAGGAAAGCATGAGGAAAACACTTTGAGAGACAGAATTGTGAAACAATGTGTTTTATAATTGTTATGTTTCAAATATTAGTGTTAGCTTAATCATAAAAACCAAGCGATTTTAAAGGCACTTAAAGCTGTAGTGAATCTTTTCAGCAGTTTTGTGGCAAACTTACGATAGTAAATATATGTTTTATAATTAACTCGAGGTGTGTAGTAACTTTTTTGTTAGTGGTTTTTTATTTGCTTGCTTTTTTAATCAGGACATTAATCATAAGCTGCCAGACACTGCAAATGCTATACCTAAATTTCAGAATGAGTTTTCAGGGTATTCGCGTCTGGTTGGAATTATAACACTTCAAAATTGAATAAACTTTATCTACTAATATGAATTTCTGGATATTATCATTGCAGCATCTAAAGAACAGGTCATAAAATGTCAATAAAAGCATTCAGTTTTGTTAAAAATTTGTCTTTTTTCCAAGTAATTTTTCATTCTAACATATGACTTAATTGTGTAATTTGCTTAGTTGTGCCCTGATGAACATCTTACCTTAGCTTTGCTCTCTTAACTAATAATTCTTATCAACCACTTTGAACTTTAATTTCAATAGTGATTCCAAAGACAAAGATGACTTAACTGTCTGAAAAAATGTGTTCTATGCATACAAGTCTGCAGAAAGGTCTTAGGATGGAAATAAGACTTTTTGCACAGGACATTTAACTTCCAGAAAACTGTCAGGGGAAAAAAGACTGTGTGAACTGTTCTGTTAATTGAGTTACTTGATAGCATTTAGGAAAATAAAATATTAACCTTCATAGTCAAAACTTTCAACTTTTCACAGCTGTCAGTTTGTACTGTCTAACTTTCTTGCTTTCTCTTTCAAAGCTGTAGTCCTGCATGAATGCCTCTGCGCTTAGTGGAGTTTCTAATGTGCTCAAATTATGCCTTCCTTTCATGTTGTGGATGGACCACAGATCACCTCTTGCATCCAGCTACTAGATCATATCAGATAATGTGTTACTAACTTCTGCTATTAAGGAAAGAAGGCTGTTCAGATAAAAATATTCCATCTTCTCTAGGTGAATTTTAAATGTTGTAAAGTCCAGCTTTGAGACCTTCTTGTGCCAATTGTTAAAATGTGTTAAATTGTTTAAGAAAGCCCTGCTTCCTAAGACTTTCAGGAATAGTTGCCTTATTTTATAAGAAGAGTTACTAATTTAAAAAGAGGTTGTACAGAAAGTGGGTAGAATTTGGGCGTTTCTCTTCTCTGCTCTTGTTTTTGTTGCTTTTATCACTCCTTTGTTTTTGTTTTTCTCCTTATTCCTATCTGAATTTTTCCTTTGTAGGAAAGTGCTTCCTTGGCAGATAGATTGATACAGGTATAGTCCTTTAGTGTTTTGCCATATGACTCTGTTCCTGCTCTAAAAAAATGAGAGAGAAAAAAAAAAAGCTTTAATGCATGCATATCTGCATGTGTTTAAGAAATGTATTCCCTACCTTGTTGATTTGGAAATAAATGCATAGCTAACTTCTTACTACAATTTGTTTAATTTTATATACTAAAAAATATAAACCCAATACCTGCATGTTACAATATTTTTCTAACCAGATGTAAACTTAGTTACAAATTCTTGTTACAACTGTCTTCTGCAGCATTGTATTAACAGTAAAATTGACTGTTGAAAGCTTAATCTGTGCATGTACAAATGAGTAATATTGCATGAATTAAATCTACTGAATGCAGGTACACAACTGAGCTTGCTAAAAGGATGCCAAACTTTAATAAAATACTAAAGCAGCTACTTAGTACTGCATTGTCCTGAAATTTTTATTTGTATTCTATGCTGTTTGCAAAACCAATCTGATAAAATAAGTAGCTAAGCTTCACAAGGCAGTCTTTCTTGGATCTGTCCTCAATTGCTTTAAAAAGAAAATTATGTCCTAAGGGACAAGTGACAAGGGCCCAGGAGGCTGAGGAAAACTACCTCATAAAACGGGAGCTGGCCACCATCAAACAGCAGAGTGATGAGGCCATTGCTAAACTGGAGCAAGCTGAGAAAACCATCAGGGAGCTCCAGCAGCAGCAGCAATGGGTAAGGAGCCTGGCAGCACCTCATCTCATGGTTTTCAGTCACTTGTGTGTGTTTTTTTTCCCCCCTCATGATGCAGTCCTTATGCTGTCCTTACAAGTTTTACATTGTTAAAATAACATAAGTTGGAGTAAATGCCATTTCTGTCATTTTTTACTGATACAGGATTCACAATTTTGGATTAGCTCATATTATTTAAGAATGAAAAAATTAAAAAAAAGAACACGTTTCAGTAGCTCTTACTAAAAGTCTAGACATTGCTAATTGTGTCACTTTGTTCAGTTTGAGAACTGGTTCAGAATACCTATAGCTGGAGTCTCATATAAGTCACTCCCCTCTGCATTAACTTTTTTGGATCCCTACTTTTTTCTAACATGTTTTAAATTTGGTTTTTGCCAAACAAGTGGAAGGGGATTGACCCTTAGTTTGGAGTTAAACGAAGTCTGTAAGTGTGTGGAGTTTTGTTTCAGAGCAAAAAAGTAACTGTCTTTTGGCAGCAATAGATGTCTATATTTAGTATGTTTTAATTGGTGTAATGTTCAAGACTTCAGAGAGTTACTGAGACCAGAATTGCTTCCTTTAACCTACTGGCCAGGTCCTTGATATCTTGTCCTGAGACAGAGATGCAATTTATGCATGAATAGCTGTGCACTAGCAGTGCTGATGTGCATATGCTCATGCTGCTTTAAACAAGTGGTGTCCAGGTACATCTTTGAAGCTCTGGGCACTTCTAGTTTGTGGTTAAAAATCCAAGTCTGGCTTTCTGCAGCTGCTTGCTAAAGATAGTCTAAGTTTGGTTTGCACTTCCTCCACTGAAGCTCTGGCAATGCTTGTGCATCTTTTTTGAACGTTGAGAACAGATTTTCTGTTGACTGAAAACATTCAACTGAAATTCAACATTACAGATAGTATTGGCTAATGCATTTCAGCACGTGTATGGTGCATATTCCAGGACAGTCGCAAGGATACCTATTGTTGTGATCTGTGGCTCTATAACATGGGTGTTTTTGTTTTTATTTTCGAGATGTTTGAGAGATTTGGGGATGTTTTAATGATGCTTTCTGAAATGTTGTGGTATTTCAAGTGAAATAAAATGAGAAATGTTTGGGGTAGCCATTTGTTTTGCAGTTTGGTTATCACTATATATCTGGTTTTGGACTGTTTTTGGAGATGGTATGTGTCCTAGCGATGCCATGTTATTTTCGTGCATTCAATTGCAAGTCACAATACAGGACTAAAATTTAATATTAAAAATACAGCCTGTGAATTCATGCTTATGCTTAAACTTGATGAACTATGCGTACATGTTGAAAGGAACCGCTCTGAGGTGCGTGGCTGGGCCTGGGCAAGCGGGGGGAGAGCAGCAGCCTCGCAGCGTGAGGGCAGGAGCTCGGCAGGCAGGCAGAGCCAGGAGCTGTGCGGCCCTGTCCTCCTCAGCGCATGCAGAGGCGGCTGTGGGACACGTCTGCCTTGCAGCTGGGGCTGAGCTCGGACTGCTGCGGAGGGCTCCTGCTCTTGTGTCTACTGTTGGCAGGGCAAAGACTATACTGAATTAGTGGAGATGCTCTGAACTAAATGTGGTGAAAAGAAAGGCTGAGCTGGTTTGGATTGATAATTGCCTGGCTGCTGCTGTGATGTTGAGATGTGTATTTGGGTTGTTTTTTAACTTTGCTCCTAAGCATGGGAGGAGAAGCAACGAATGGTAAAAAAGTGTGCTTGTGTTTCATGCACTTGGGGCTCCACCTGGTGGAAATATATGGATTTTCTTTGAATTTTGAAACTTACCTTTGCTCTGCAGAATATACTGGCACATCTTTTTGCCACTTTCTAATATCAGCTGCTTTGCTCTTGGTAATACTTGTCTTCAGTGTTGTCTTATGATTTGTCGTCCTTTCCTGTTTTTTCTCTGGTGATTCTAGTTTGTGATCATTGAAAATTATTACAAATGGAGTTACACTAAAATGGTTTAACTGCTTATTTAAAGGTGCATTATTCATATGCTTCATAATTTATATCTATTACCATCTAGATATAAACTGTAATGTTTGGTTGTGAATTGTCACTTCTGAATTATCAAGAAGTTCAGAAATCACTGAATATTTCTGCTATGAAAGAAAAGCCTCTATAATATTTTAAAGAAATCTAAATCATATCCTTTGGGGAGGGAAGAAAACAAAGGTATTCCTGTTCAAAAACTATCCTTGATGGACCTGGAAGTAATGCTAATGCACATATAACAAAAATCTTCTTAAATGAAATGTATTCTACAGATTTCTGAATACATTTAAGATTATTTAGGAATGTAGGGAAGATACATTGAAAATAGTAAGGTTTGAGACTGAAACTTCAGTTTGGATTTTACTTTGGATACTAACTTTCACATGGTAATAGGGAATAATGAAGTCAGTGCCAGTTTTCTAAAACCAGCAGAACCTGCAAAGCTTTGTGCTGCCAACCAGACGCAGAGGAGTGACTGTAAAGCTCCCAGGCGGCAGCTGGGGTAGCTGGAACCGCTTTAGCTACTCAAGTGTTTGCCTGAGAACAGCCACAACTTTGTTTTACCTGGTGTGTCAAATTTTTAAATGCAGAAATGTGCCAAGAGCTTCTAGGCGCAGTTGTAAACCAAAAGATGGAGGAAGGTGGTTTCTTCCCCACAGTGCTGGCAAACCAAGAGCTGCTTGGAGGAAGCTCTGCCTGACTGCAGCGGGGCCCAGCTGGTCCTGCTCCAAGGTGCACAGAGAGGGATGGGGGCAGAGGCTGGGCAGTCAGCTGCTCCTAATGTGCCTCAAGAGTTATTCTCTGAGGGGGATTCATTTGTTTGTTTCTGTTGGGACTGTGTTGGTGTCTGGTTCCTGGTTCCTAACCCAAAGAGAACACCCTTTTTTTCCTTAGTACTCTACCTGAAGCAGAGCCTGGAACAAGAAAGCAGGAGTCTAGCTGCCTTGCTGTGTGCATCCTTGATAGACTTGTGTGAACAGTCAGGGGAGATGGAAGAGCTGCTGCCCTTTCCCTGCATCTGCATGTTGGTTCATATGCTGTTTTTGCTCCCATATCATGTGAAGCAATTGTCTGAGTGCATCAACATAGTCTACCCTTCTCCTTGTTCAAATCAGGGCTACCTCCATCCCTTGCTGAAGAAAAGACATTATTGGATTTGAAAATATTTAAAAAAAAAAAAAAAAAAGCCTGATGTAAGGGAAAGTTAGTATGACCACTATTACATCTGTACACTAGCAGCATTCCCTGTGTGTTCAGCTTTGGAGATAATGAAGGAAGACACAATGGATAGTTTCAGTGAAACTAAAGGCTTTATGCAAAAGCTACATTTGTCTTTTAATATCACACATATTCTAGGTATTTAAAAATTATTTAAAATGTTTAAAATGTAAATGTAAACTTTACCTGAGTTAACATAACATGCTGAAATTTTGTGTGTTAAGTGATGAAGAAAGGTAAAGCTGGCATATAAGTGTCGTGTGTGTGTGTGCAGTGACATATTGCTTCTCCTTTTCTGTGTCTTCAGTTTGTGCATTAAAGGTCAGGGAAGAAGGGAATGAAGCGAAGTGATGGTACATTACAGAACACGGTAGAACCTAAGATCATGGAACGTTTGTGCTGAATCAGAGTTGAAGTGTGATTAAGGGAGATATGGGAGATACCTACATTGTGCAAACCAACCTAGTCTTTCCCAAACCTCTGTGTTTCTGCATATCAGAATGCCTTCAAATATCTTAAACTCTTCAGTCTATAAAAATGGCAAAAAGTGAGATATTTCTCATTACTAATAGTAGTGGAGTAATAGTACTAATGCCACACAGTGGGCATTTAGCATTAATATTTTATGTATTAGGATTCTTGATTTTAGCGATATGGATGAGCATGTTGGTAGACCTGTATCAGGTAAGCTCTTCTGTTGATCTTAAGATAATAATCCTAAACATTTGAAATATTTTTTTGTTCCAAATCTGGCACATAAACTCCCTTTCAAATCATCTGCACTTCATACTAAATATATTTCTACAAACTTTGTAGCATAAATGCAGTTCACGATACAGTGAAGACTTTGTGCTACAGCTGGAAAAGGAGTTGGTTCAAGCCAGACTGAGTGAAGCTGAATATCACTGTGCCCTGAAGGAGATGCAAGATAAAGTTCTAGAGATGGAAAAGGTAAATCAAACCCAAAATCCTCGCTGTGGAATAGCACCAGAGGGAGAATTCAGGAATTCTCTGCATGACTCTACTCTAGAAACCTCTATTCATAATTGCAAGCTGCTTTTCAAATCCAAATGTCCTACGAGAGGTCTGTGAAGAACAGATTGCTTGTCTCCTGTTACTAAAGCCTGCTGCTGTGGAAAATTTGAATTCTGCAGTCTTCACAGTAAATATCAATTGCTTCAACATTATATTCTTCAGCAACGGTAACAGATTTAGGGTTGGGGATTGAGGGATTGGGGATTCATTATTCTATTTCACAGAAGAATGTTTGGGAGAGAAAACACTTCACATTTCCAGATCTTGTAGCTCTGATTCACTCGCAGTTCTCCACATGATGATGGGCAGGGGAGGAAAAACAAATAGCAACAACAACAACAAAAAACAAAACAAAACAAAAACCCCTCAGCTGTTCAGCATTGAAATCACTAACTTGGATGGCAGTGCAAATCGTATCTGACATCGTACTAATGCCAGAGCTCTACCTGTGCTCCTGTCAAATGTTCACCTGCCTCTGAAGAAAAACTTGACTGTAAAATAAAATAGGAAAATACTGAATGAGACCACAAGGTGTAGTCTTCCAATCAGTTTACATTGGCTTGGAAAACTGCTTCCTCGTGAAAACTTAAACTATACACTCAAAAAGTGACTAGAATTTATTGGTTAATTTTAAATTTAAATCTTCACTGAGTTATTTGGATTATCTGAGGGACTTGATAGGAATCTGACAGCCTAGTAGCTCTCACTGCTCTGAACATTGATAAGGATTTAATATCCAAAGGGTTACTGAAAATTCAATGAAAGAATGCTTTTGTTCAACCTACCTTAATGTGAAGGTAGTATACACTGAAAACTCAAAAAATATCTGGGGCAGGGAGAGTTTTTAATGTAAGGGGCAAGCATAGATGGAAAGTGGTGTTCAGTTGGTCACAGCTGCACTGAGGCACGTGAGAAATGACTGAAGTAACCCCCAAACTCCTGTAAACACAGCTCATTACTGTTATACTAGTGTGCCACGTAACTGGTTAAGTGAGCAAGCACAGCCCCACTTTGAGTATCTGACCTCTTAAACATCTGATAGAGCATAGATGGAAAGTCAATTAACTGCACTCAGGCCTGTGAGAAATGACTGAAGTAACCCCCAAACTCCTGGGGAGTGGAGGGATACTGTAGCTCAGGTAGACTGTGTGTCTTTTTCCTCCCCTTCTGTTTCTTTCCCACACTTGCACTTCCATTTTATTCTTTTTAGTTTAGGTCACTTCTGCTGTAACATGTTTACTATTTTCCTACTTTGTTTAGTTTGCTCCAGTCTCGCAACTTTGTGTGTGTGTTCATGGGTTTTGTTTTTTGTAGTAGTATACATCTATGTGTTTTCATCCATGGGGCCTTCCCTTGACTGACTGTTGTTGCAAATCTCCATGGATGCTTTTTATTAACCTTCTTTAATGCTACTGTAAAGGCAGATGGCCTGCTTCTTGAAATCTAAACTTCCATTTTGGATAAGTCTAACACTCTTCATACTTTTGGCCCATTGCCAATAAACAGTACAAATGATGCAGTTCTACAGACACTATGGACTAGTTTTGCTAGGGTTGTTTTCAAGAGAAAAGTGGAAGTCTGAACACCTAGTCTTTTAAAATATTAATGTTACTTTTGTAGTCAACATTTGAAAGATGCTTATCCACACCTATCCAAAATCTTAAATTTTCGAGGTATTTGGTTTTAAAGGGGTATGTTGCTAAGAATTTTTTGTCAGTAGAAAGAATTATCATTCCATGTATGTTTTTGAAGCAAGTTTAACTAAACACAATTTTACTCTACTACTTGTTTAAGAGCATCTTACCTGTTGCAGAGGAACAGCTCTCTACCTGATGAAGAAAACGTTGCTAGATTACAAGAAGAACTGATTGCAGTAAAACTAAGGGAAGCAGAAGCTCTGATGGGTCTCAAAGAACTAAGGCAGCAAGTCAAAGATTTGGAGGAACACTGGCAGGTATGGGTGAATAATACCTTCTTATGAATGATGATAAAGCACAGTAACATGAAACACTTAAGATATGGATGTCAAGTAGAAACTGGCATTTGGGATCAAGCTTATCAGAAAAGAACATCTTTGTTTGCCACAAGCAACCTCCTGCCTTACAAGCAGCCTTCAGCTGCTTTTTTCTGTTCTTAATACTATGTTTTGCTTGGATTTCTAGTTTTTATGGGCAATAGTAGTATGATAGCCATGTAACCCATCAACTCTCACGTACCAAAGATACCTTTGAAGCAAACTGTTATCTTAAAATAATGAACACTAGGAAAGATTAGGTTTCTCAAGTGATGCCGTACTGTTTTAGCGTCATCTAGCTCGCACAACTGGAAGATGGAAAGACCCTCCCAGAAAAAACACTGTGAATGAACTCCAGGATGAGCTCATGACAGTGCGATTGAGAGAAGCAGAGACTCAAGCAGAACTTAGAGAGATCAAACAAAGAATGCTGGAGATGGAAACACAGGTATGATATTGAATACTGGCATGTGTGAACTGAGCTGAATACTGGCAAATTCGATATCAAATTATAAATATCAGATGGTTTTTACCATCTGTGTCCATGACTAGTTTCTAAATGCTTATTTCTTTCTCTGCCAGCGTAAGAGGAAATCTAGTGTGCTCAGTCCAACTTTTTTCTTAAGCTACTTGCAGAATTAGAGTTTCTCAATTTCTCATTTATGTTTATTCACTAATCTGTTAACCTGTATGTATGAATCTTGATCTGGAACTAGTATAGCAACAAAACTTTAGTTTGAAGTATATCAAATTTTTCAGTCTTTTGTATAACTGATTCTGTTTCTGCAACTTCTAATTCTTTAAATGGCTCTGTTCTTTTCTCTGATGAAATCACCAATTTTGGATTATCTGCTGAGGACATGAGCCTGGTTATTAAGCTAGGGCCTTTCTGCCAGACAGTTCTGTGTTAACTTTTAGCAGAAAGTTTTTCACCTGATAAACGAAGTGCAAAGTCAGCGTTGCCAAAACTGACAGAAAAGGCAAAGCACTTATCTGCTAGGTACTTTTTTTAACTAGAAAAGTTGTTAAACAAATCCAAAGTAGCAATGTGCTAAAATGGGCAAAGTTATATTACATTACTGAAGTATTAGCTGAATCTGCCAATAAGTAGTGTCCTGCTGCATAAGGATTTATTACAGACTTCTGAGAAATCTTTCCTTGAAATATACGCTAAATGTAACTGATACTTGGAGACCCGTGCAAAAGACCTCTAGTTCCAGAAAGCAGGAGCACATCCATGTGTATTCCTCTGCAGAGATGCCGTACCTCCAAGACACGTGGCTCCTTCTCTCTGCCAGAAGCACCTCTTTCTTCTCCGCTGCCTGAATAAGTTTTCTCATGTCTGATTTATTTCATGTTTCACTGAAGTATTAATACTTTTTCATTACTGTTTCTTCCTGGTTCATCCATGTCTTCTCGTCACTAGAGGGCACAGTTATCCTGCTCTGGGAATGAGTTTAACTAAATTAACATGATCTCTGGCTAGTTGTTAATTTCAGTGTTCCACACCCCAAGCTTTTCCATAAGCTTGTATTGTTTAGCTGTTCTTCAAACAAAACGTGTTTGTTTTCATTTCACATATTGGTTTATCCACAGGTTCATACAAAAAACACGCATCTCATTCTGATTTACTGATCTTAACTATGGTACCATATTTTTGTGAGCAATTCACTCGGTAGGGATTTGCATGCAGCAGTTCTGATATAGCTGATGCTTCATGGTGCTTCAGCTTGTTGCTGTAATTGGGGTGCAAGTTCAGAGTCTTTGACTTTACTGAAGTAAAAGATCAGAGAGAACAGGTGTACAGTAGCCCAACCATAACATCCTCACAGTGCGTCCTTTGTTATTTAAGCACGTTTTGAAAGTGGTGGCTGTAAAACCAATGTGATGGAAACTGTCTTGGTTACATAATTATTAATATAATTAATATTTTTATAATTTAATAATTATAATTATTAAATTATGTTCTTGATTGAAAACATTTATAACCAATGATCTGTCAATTTTGCTTAAAAGAAATGTACTCCTTTATCTATAGGGAGAGAGAGGGAGGGGATACCTTTCTAATCAGACTTTAGCCAATGCATTTATAAAGATCTTTGCTTAACACTTTTTTTTCCTTAACATCAGAATCAGATCAACAGTAACCACTTACGCAGGGCGGAACAAGAGATTGCCAGCCTTCAGGAAAAAGTGCAGTGTCTTTCTGCACAGAACAAGGGACTCCTCGCTCAGTTGAGTGAAGCAAAACGAAGGCAAGCAGAGATTGAATGCAAGGTAAAACAATGTCGCAAATAGACTATTTTTGTGCTAGCGTATTTTTAGTCTTGTACACTATCATTGAATATAACTGTACACTATCACTGAATATAATTGAGCCTTAACTGAGAAGCAAAAATCATGAAAACAAAACTTGCTCTTATTGATTTGAAAATGTCATTTTGAATTTACCGTTTCATAAAAAACACTTGAGGTTTTGGCAGAACAACTGCTTTATGGTCCCACAAAGATAAACTTTTACTTTGAAGTATGATTCTACTTAGAAAAGTGCCTCTGTGCATAATACATACAAGACACACCCTCTTATTCAACAGCTTCTCATCAGTGTATACTCTGATTTGCTTTAATGACAGAAGGGAGTCAATGACTTCAACCCTGGTTATTATTGCAGAATTATTCTAGGTTCAAAAAAAGGAAATAAAATTAGAATTTTAATGGAGAAGGGAATGTTATTCATTGCGCAGAAACTAGTCTTTAAGAGGTCACCTCCAAGAGCAGGCAAAATACCTTTTATTCCTGCCAGTTGCAAACAAGAGCCCAATCTGATGCTTGCATCTCCTAATTAATCTCTAATAACATTTCTCTTGATAAAATGTGTACATGTAATATGATAACATAACAAAGGAGTGGTCCTATGTGTTTCTTTAACTATATGTTTCTAGATGACAAATTTCCTGGAATTTGTACAGACCTTTCTTTTAAGAAAAGTTAGTTGACAAATCACTGCAAACTACTACAGCTAAGTCACTTTTTTAGAAATGGAAAACAACTTTGAAACAGAACATAAACTATTTTTCAAAACATATTGAATAGTATTTTTAGAAGTATTTTATAAAGTTGCCCAAAGAGCTGAACAGTCAGTAACTTCTAAATATATTAGTTGAGCACAATAATTTGAGATGGATTATCAAACTATCACTTATAAAACTAGCTATAAATTGTCGTCTTCAAATAACTGTATAACAGCATCAGCTTTCAAGTTGTTTATGATTCTATACTAATCCTTTTCCTTAATGTAATCAAGCGTTTTTTGGATGCTGCACATGTTTCTGTGCTCATTCATTCAGAGCACAGTTACTTGAGTGTTTTTCTATTTTTTCCCCCATATACATGCATTTTACTTGAGATTCCTACACAGAAGCACACACTGTCTGTAATTCCATCAAAGGGTTCTGATGACAATACAAACTAAAGGAGTAGCATGAGTGGTTTATCACAGTCACTGAAGCCTGGAGATGAAATTACATCCATTTTAATATGCATAGTTTTGTTTCAATATCACACTCAGTTTTTATAGATTTTTCTTGAACTTTTTTCCAAGGTAATGCATAAATATAACCAATTGAGTTGCATGGCAAACTCTGACTTTCTGTTTGTTACTCAGAGCCATACTGTATAACTTGTATTTGACTTTTTTTTTTGTGCTGGTTTCTAATGGCACCTATATCTAGAGTTCAGTGAAGCCAACTTTTACTGATTTAATCGAACTCCAGCAGAAGCTCTTAGGAAACAGCCCACTGAATTTAACTAGTAGAATTCTGTTCCACTAGTTTCTAGTTTAGCTTAACCACTGGATTCTTAAGTGTCATATCTTAAGTGTCTCAATGTTGAAGTGACTCTTACTGATTTATTTTTTAGAAAATATTTCTACTCTTGTTAAATGTTTTTTGTGACATCTTAATCTTCTTCATTTAATCTGTAATTTTCTTGTTTGATGCCTTTCAGATGCCTTTCAGATCCAAATCATTTTTAAGAAATTGAGAGATTGAGAGGTGGTAGTCATCATTACTTTGAAGCTCTTATTTTGACTGCAGATAAAATAATATGACTTTAACCTCGAGCCTGTATGAATGTATATATCTATTCTCAGCAGGGTATTTGTATCGAAAGTTGCAATGTAAAATTGGCTAGTGAGGTGTGACAGTAATGCAATGAGCACTAGCTGCACTTAAGAGCATTTTTAGAGATTCTCCAGAAGTTGCAGTTATGAAGTGAAATACCACCCATTTGGTGCGAATACACTTCAGATGGCCTTCAAGAGTCAATGCGAGCTAACATGTAATCTCTTGGAATAAGGCTTAATATAATTCAGTTGGTTACTGTATTGTTCAAATGAACAAGTTTTGTTAACTTATCGAAGGATGAACTTAATTTGCTTGAAGAAAGGTAGTTACCAATGTAATCTTCCCTAGTATTCCTTTTTCCTTCTCTCTCTAATCTTGCTGTGAGCTGACATTGTGCTTTTATCCTATTTTTCTCCTTTTTTTTATTTTCTCTGTCACTCCCTTCAACCCAACTTAATCATTTTCATTATGCCACCTCCCTTACAAAACTATGTGGCAATTTTTACCACCTCTGAAAGTTGTTCTGTTGAATTTCTGGTCCCTCTAGGTGCCTTTTTAATATCTCTTGTAATAAGTCACATCTTCTGCCTATACATCAACTGTTTTGTCACTGATAGGTACTACATTATATTTCTTCTTTCCTGAATGTTACTTTACAACAAGCACTTTGCTTCAGACTGTTTCTTGAAGCCAAACACTAATCTTTCAAACTGCAGTTATGTGGAGAAGAATGAACCATGTAGATCAAAGACTTATATTCCTCCCCTGCCTTGCCTTTCCTCTCACATGAGCTTCCATGGCAGTTACTGAGGCCATGTGTTTAGCAGCTCAGTCAGAGATAAAGGCTCCCGTGACACTTGTGCTAACAGCTGTTTGCAGAGCTGCACTGCCTGCGTGCTGGGGAGCGGCTGAGCCGGAGCTGCCTCCTCCAGGGGCACATGTGCCGCAGCTGGAAGCGAAGCGGGGCTGCCACGGCGCCACTCCTCGCGCGGCGGCACTGCCGAGCTGCTCACCAGTGTGACTTAGGAGTCTCGAGGAACTGCTTCGCAAAGCAGAAATAAACTTCTATGCCTTGTCCAACTCAAATGCACAGCACTGAACTTGTGCTGGGAATCTAACTGTGGGTCATGGGCATTTGGATTTTTATCCTAAACTATTTTACATTTTTTTGTTCTAAGCTAAGACAGTCGGACATTATTGAAGTTCTTGTTTGGGGGGTAAGAGGGTAGTTGGCAGAGAATATTAAATAAGTCACTTGTGTATCCTCTAATGCTGTATAATGCTTTATAATTGTTTATAAACAAACTCAAGGGCTGAACAATGTGCAGGTCTTTATCATGCTGATGCAGGTGTCAACAGTGTCTCAAGTGTTTGCACCATAATGTGTCTGGAACACAGGACATCTGTTGCATGGACCTGGAAATTGGTTACATCATGTGCTTTTAATATTGATGCAACTTTGATTAGGTGAATATAGCTTTAAATTCTTAATAGATGACCATATAATCCTAAGCATTAAAATAATTTTTTTTTTCTTAGAGTATGCCTTATCAACCAGCATGCTGCTTCAGCAGCATGTGTTAGGGTCAATTGCTTGCTTGCAAAGTTTTGGTTGAAAGCAGTCCAGTCTTGACTGAGCTCAAGGACAGTATTTGTTAGCTTTCATCTCTTACTTCTTTCAGAGCAAAGAAGAAGTGATGGCAGCAAGGCTCCGTGAGGCAGACCGCATTGCCGCTGTGGCTGAGCTCCAGCAGCATGTCGCTGAATTAGAAATCCAGGTAACAAGTGATGGCGTTAAATGGCTAACCTGATGATTATTACTTTTTATACTTTTTTTCTCCTTTCTCTGCTTCCTTTTCTTTTCAACCTGCTTTGAACACAAGGTTTTGCAGAGGGTGATAATGCTTTCTTGATGAATGTGCCCTTTTTTTAAACAAAAAGTTAAATCTACCTCCTGGGGACACTTCTGAGCTGACAATTTTTGCTTCTGTACAAGTGGCACACAACAGGTAACATTCTCTTAAACTGACTTTTTCTTGTGAATTTTTGCCAGCTAATGTATCAGATTGAAAACATCCTCTCTCCAGAGAGCTACACGTTGATTTTTGGCAACCGTTCCTGGCTATATCTTCTCCCCCGTTCAACTTCCTTAGGGAATTTGTTGTAAACTTTTGCTACTTCTATCTGAATCCTGAACATAGAAATGCTATTGAATGCTACCACGTTAGTGTACTGAAAATGTGTCCTTTGGCCCGTGTGCTGCTGCTTATAATTTCAGTTCCTTCTGAAGCTTCCATTCTACGTGAGCTCCTTGCTCTGAGAATCATGAATGACTTCTGTTTTATTTTTGAGGTTTTGAGATACTATGATGCCTCACTGTACTCTGTCTTGCCTGTATTCAGCCACTTTTTAATTTTGCTTTCTCTGTCTGTGAAGGATTCTTTGTTTTCTGTTGCTCTGCTATAAGCTACTTACTCTCTGGTTTCTTTTATTTTTAATGGTAATATTTGTGTCTGTCTTGAGTCTTATATTCAAAGTGATGATTTTACTGTGTCCAAACTCCTTTCCCCCTATGACTTCTCAGTTACTTAAGTCTTTCATGTCTTCGTGTGTGGAATCAGCTTCCTTTTTAGACCTGTTTTTTTTATTATTTTTTATTTTTTCGTAAAGCTTGGTTACTTTTTTGCTTTTAGCATAAGGAAGATGTGCAGTATGATATTCTCATATTGTCCCTGTATTATCAAATTGTATTGTGGAAATGACTGAACAAATTTTAATAGAGCATGCATAAATTCTTCCCTTTGAATATCTTTCCTGTAGAGAAGCAGGCACTGAATTTATTGAAAGATAAAGCGATCATTTTAGATTGCTATGTTTAGATAATGCTATGATCAGTACATTAGAAATACTTAGATAAGCAAAGTAAGCATTGCATATGAATCACTTATCTTCTAGCAAGATAACAAGAAAATAGCTGAGTCGATCTCTTACTTGTGTTAACTTCAAACTTCATTTCTAGGAAAGTTTTTGGTTTTAAACAGTGATTTTTGTAGATCAGAAGGAGCCAATAGCTCATTCCACTTTTTTCCTCTTTAAAACAACCTTTAAATGCTGTCCCGTTTCCCTTGTTTGACTAATACGGGTCTTCCAACAAGTCTTCCAGTCTTCGTTATATAAAGTCAGGAGAGTAACCATGACTCTGTGTGTTCTCTCTTTCTGAGAGCTAGTTATATACCCCATTAGGATTTTGTGTTGTGTAGGCTTTTTTTTTGTGCAGATATGTCTGTCTTCAGGTTTTTTGGTCTTGACTGATCAAGTTGTCGGTGCTCCATTATTTTATAGCTACTATAGAACTATTTCCTTCTGATTATTTAACATTTCTGCTGAAGCTATGGATTGCCAGTATTGTATGCAGAAATTAATAAGCTTCTACTATGAAGCAAGTAAAGATAAGTGCAAGAAGGTTATTTATTTTATAAATCTTATATGTCTGAAAATTAAACAGTCCCTATTTGTCACACTATTGCAGAGTCTCATGTTGTTTCTCCATAGCACCTCTGCTTCCTTTTCACAATTGCTCCTTTGCATGATGAAATCTTTCATTATATTTTTCCATTTTTCTCATTTCAAGTGAGTTGTATTTGTCTCCTATTAAAGTGTACTTCAAATTGGAATCTTTTTGTTGTTCTCAGATGATCACATGTTAAAGATCTGATCTGTAATCTTTTTCAGTAGCATTCTTTCAATCTTGCATAATTAAGAACTGCTTTGTTTAGTCTGGAGCACAAAGTCATTCTGTAGCTGAGGTTCATGTTTCTAATTTAACGAGCCTGCTCTGGTAGGCTTTGAACTATTGATCTCACAAGTCTATACTAGTCTGAAATGAAGCTGAGGGTTGTGAAATACACAGTTTAACCATATACAAAACTTTTAAATGTTTTAGCTGAAGTAAAAGTTCTCTAATGTCAGTAACTTAAGTCTAGAGTAAAAATGTAAAAAATAAATGGAAATACTTATTGGACTGTGAAAGCTTTTGTGTAAGCTTCTACAGTTAAGTAGCTATTTCTGACCAATGTGTCTTGTCAGCAAATATGAAACTTGTGATCAAAACTTCCCTTTTGGGCACTCATGCTTAAAGAGGTCTGAAACACCTGCCCAAAAAAACCTATACTGGAGATGGAAAGCCCAACTTCCAAAGTCAGCTGTAAGAAAATGAAACTGATCTTACTGTTAGAACTAAAGCCGTCTTTAGGAAGCTGTCTATGTAGGCATGAGGTACTGGATTGCTCTGCTGCCTCTTTCCATGCTCTCGTGTTCTGCTTGTCAGTGTGTTAAGGGTCGGGCCCTGATGTGGAGAGCAGAGCACCTTTTAATCTGGACTTGCTTTAATGACTTTAACGTTATAGTGTTAAAGGGTGTATTTCATGCAACCAGTCAAAGTTATTACACTAACTGTGGAGCATCACAAATAGGCTTGCCTGTTGTATTGTTTCAAAGTTGATAAAGATGAAGGGAGGAAGTTTAACTTACCACATAACCTTCCTTTTTTTTTGGAGGGGGATGGTGCTTTTCTAAGAAGCTCTAGGGATTTAGTGCCAGGTCTGCATGGTCCATAGCAATGTTTAACCTAAAATTTGATGTTTTCTTTTAAATATTATCATAGGCGCAAGACACTAGTGTTAAATTTGTAACAGAGTATCACTACTCCCAAATAAAAACCTCATGTGATATTCCATATACAGGTGCTAGATTTAAATCACAGTTTCTGGGTCACTCAGTATATAACGGGAGAAAAGGCAAATGAAATGCATAGGAGCAGAATAGATAGAATTCTATCATTTAATAGTAGATGTAGATTTAACAGTAGTTATGGAACAAGTTATCAGCCTATGATATTTGGAAGTTATATTTGTATATGCTCAGTATCACTTTATCTTGTTGAGGCATTGTGGATTCCGAATTCTGAGTTTTCAAACTTCTGTGTAAGCATACTGAAGTGCAAAGAATAAATGCATTCTGTGATGATGTTCCTAAGCAAAAGAAATTTGAGATGTTCTTGACTGAAAGTAACACAGGACTGAAATATTTTTCAATTTGTTCTGTAGACCTAAACTCCTGAAATGACAAAGAAAAACCCTCAAGCTGCATGTCATGCTCTTGGCCTAAGTGCATGACATTCCTAATTCTGTACAGACAGTCCTGCTGGCCATTCAGTGTTGCTTAAAGCAAAGGTTCCCTTGCAGCAACTGAAGAAAGGGCAGACTAAGTGAGGGCAGGAGGCTCTGTGAAGCCCCGGCAAGGTTAACTAAGCTGCGGTTACAAGCTAGAGCGCTCAAAGGCCGGGGTAACGCGCGGAGCCAATGACAGAGCGGGCAGGCTGAGGAAGCGGAGCTGGGGCAGCTGCAGCCTCCGCGCTGGCCCTCTGCCCTGCTCCCGTGCCGGCTGCTGCCGCAGCGCCCTTGCGGAGTCCCCGCTGCCGCCTCGCGATGGGCAGCCGCGCGGCCTGCTACAGTTTTTAGGCCCAAGCAATCCTAAAGGGAAAACTAGCTGTCAGAATGGATTCTTAGTCTTGCAGGCTGCTCTGGTCAGAGGTAGCATCACTTCCTCCTGGTGTGCTTCCTGGCAGATTCAGAGAATTTTGTCTCATTTACCCCACCGTTAACCATGTCAGAGCTTCTTTGAGAAAAACTGTAAAGGAAATCCATGATTGTGCTAGTTCTCTTCCCCCACAGTTTAAACTTTTACCACTGTTTCTTTAGAATGAAGCCTTTCTGTGACCTCTGTTTAATAACTTTTCTAAGTACTGACTGTTGAGTAAAGAAATTGTTTCCATCTTTTCAAATTACAGGAAACTTTTTTACTCTTATCAATAGTGGTGTGTGATGTTAGTGATGTGTTTTTTGAAAGTCTAGAATGAGTCACTGTAAAGTCACTGAAAGGACACTAGTTACCACATTTACTCTTCTGAATAAACTTCATTTACATTTTTAAAGCAGTGTCTCTTGCCACAGAGTAAGAGTTTAAAAGCTTCCCCTGGAAAGGGATTGAGACAGATTATTACCAAGTAAATATTTCTAAGTCAGACCAAAATAAGGATGTAGGGCAAATATCTTTCTGTTCAAGCATTTTCAGGAAAGCTGATGCACAGTGATTTCTAGAGCAACAACTGGCTGGAGTTTCAGAATTTAGCTACATATAAAATCATTGTTTTTTAGTGCATATCAAGTCTGTAGATATTAGCTCAAAAATACCTCTAGAAGTTTTCTTGTAATTTAACATGAGTTTTTTTTCATGTTGATATGTATTTCTTTTCTTATGCTGAGCTTCAAGGCTTGTTACAGAACTTTATGCTTGCCCTTCATCTTGGGCTGAAACACCTGCAACTGTTGTTCAGATGCCTTTGATCTCATCTAACTTGTGCCTACACCTTGCTTGCCCTAGCAGCATGACAGCACGCTAGGGCTTGCTTGCTAAGTCTGGCAAGTCCCTGGTACATTAATTTCTAACCTTGAGCGTGCTGCTGGAGCTGGGCTGTTGGAAGAGATAAGGGGGGGGGAGGATTTATTATTTGTTATTAAATGTAGGGGAATCAAGATGATGAGTCCCAGATGATATCGTGTAGCACCAATAAGGCATTGCTAGAAATGGTCCTGGAAGGAAAGGGTAGACCTTACATTGGTAGCAGTATGCAGAAGTGGTTATATGTTAACTTATTGTCACTTCTGCTCTTAGAAAACATGAGTTTGATTTTTCTTTTTTTAAACAAATTTCGTAGATTCTAGAATTGCCTGGGTTTCATGCTTTTGATATTTTGATAATACATTTATTTTTCTTGATAGTAGTCTTTTTCCATTTATTCCATTACCATTTATTACCATTTATTGCAGATATTGCCTAGAGACTAGACTTAATCTGTCATGACATCCTCAAATACCTCAGTTTTTCTGTAACAGTGCTCCCTCTCAAAAAAAAAACCACCAAACCCCACATCCTACGTGTATAATCTTAGATTTTTAAACCCCTATGAAGAGAGAGGCGAGATTACTAATTGCTTATGCTGTTTCCTTTTGAAAGGTGTGATATTCATACTTGTTAACTTGTAAATGGAATCTTAAAGTTCACTTTTGAAGCAGTCCTGTTGGTTTGAATATTGCTTTCTTGAGAAGTACAGAGCTACTCAAGAACAAAGATGAGCTGTTTAAAAAAAAATCCCAAGCATTTAATATTCTAGTTAACTTTTCTGCTGTCTGAGCTACTGTCATTCAGCCTTACCATTTAAGATAACTGATTAGCTTTTTTAGCTGTAGAAGACTTGCCAAATGGGTCCACACAAAGCATGTTTTCCAACATGTTTGTGCGACTCAACACTTGAAGCAATCCAGAAGCTAGCAATAGTTACAGAATTGAGAAAAAGAGGGTGCTAGGCTGAGATGGCTGGGCCCAGACAGGACTTAATGCTGGCAAGTTGTGTGTGTTTACTTGTTTGTTTTCCTTTTCTTTTTTTTTTTTTCCTGACTGAGTTTAGAAACCTTTTAAGTATATCCTACTAGTCCTTCAGGAGGAGAATGAATTAATCTGCCTTTCAGAGGATTATGATTCCCAAAAAAGAAACGAAGGCTGATATCAGTAGAATAGGAGAAATGGAAAACATGATTCTCTGGAGAAGTAAAAGGGTGGTACAGTAGTTCTTGGAAGAAGGTTATCTTTAATTGCCCTGTAGTACATTAAAGAAATGCAACAGCTGTGTTCTGCAAATAGTGGACTGAAAAGAAAGGCCGCAAAAATATCAGTGTTGCTATCTAAATTCCTTGCCTCTTTTTCTCATTCAGGATTTCTTAAATGTTCACTCCTCAATTTGTTGTACTTTTTTGTAACTTCCAAACTACCTAATTCTGTCCTTGTATCTCAGGTCAAATTTAATTCAGATTCTGAACTGAGAACAAATGATAACTCTAGTATTAATGTTAGAGCACCTGACTGAGTCAATTTATGCTGGGTTGATTTTAAGTGTTAGAATTTGCATCTGTATAGTGAGGTATTATAGCTGACATGGAAAAAGCCAAACTGAAGCAGATGAGGATTCCTTAAAAGTACTAAATCCACTGTGCAGCTCCCCAACTGTGGGCCAGTAAATGTTTGGAACGTGAGTGTGCTGTTTTTGGTGTACATATCAGTGCTACACCACAGCTAAAGTCATCCAGAATTATGGGTAAATGGGAATTTAACCTGCATGGGGTAGAATTTGAGTGTTTTTCTGCAATAGGGAAGCTATTTACAGTCTCAGGAGGTGCACACACTGCCCACAGTCTAAAAAAGTCTAGGATGGTATTAAGATCAATATACTTCAGAATATATTTTTACAGTAATTGGGAAATAACAGTGTGTTGCATAGTAACCTATTAAAGGTTGAAAAACATCTCTAGAACTACAGTAATTTGGAAGAAAGTCTTCTAACATACCAAAAGATAATACAAAAATATTTTTACATGGATTTCTGCAAAGATATACAGAATATGAGAACTGCATGTTTGGAAGCATTTTCTTTCAACAGCTTGTCTTTTTTATTCTGATGCCTGTCAAGCTGCCTTAATAAGAAGCTAGTGTAAAAGAATGATCCTACCAAACTTCTCTTGCACTTAAATTTGCCTTTGCTAACTACTTGTTTATCAGAAGCTGGAAGCTGCTAGAAATCAATTTGAGCTTACTGTAAATATGTAATGGTATTGGAAAGTGAAACAGTTTCTCAGATAAGAGAAATTTCTTTTCCTTTGTGTGGAAACCTCCTGATTTTTAAGGCTATTTGGTAATTTACAGATTATTTTCTTATTAAACTGCTACTTATAGAATATATTGTCAGTTGAAAGATGTGCAGATTTTAGCTCTTAAGATATTTGTTTTATAAAATAGTGGGTTTAGTAAGAATTAAAAAGGCCTTAATGCTAATAGTGTCTTATGTTTACACATTTTCCAGGCATCTGCTACTGTACCTGCAAGAGTGTCTTAAATTAATGATATAAAGCAACTAGCTTATTGATAAAACTGTTTTGAAATGCCTTACCTGCATTGTCATCTTGAGCCAAATGAAATACTGTATCATGTGTTTTTTTAAAAAAGGCTATTATCTTGTCCTATAATTTCTGTCTCAAGGCATCCTTCCATGTTGCCCACTGTAGAAAGGTTTTAGGAATCACTTATAGAACTTAGGGGCTCCTCAGCTAGCTTTTAAGTATCAGAATGATCTCATTTTTCTTAAAACCACTTAAAAGCATCAGCATATGATCTCGTGTTTCAAATATTGCAAGGGGAGGTTACAACCTGATTGTTTTTTGAAATCTTTAGAAAATGATATTGCAGGGTCTTCTGTGTTAAATGATGTCTTTTCCAATCGTCAGCTCTATAAAATGTTTAAGCTTGAAAAGGAAACCTGAAACTTTTCTGCCCTTTGCTAATAATAAGTACCAAGTAAACTATATTTACGCTCTCTGCTTTCAACTTCGTCTGCCTGGATCAAGCTTGTCCTTTCATGAGCAAATTATATCACAAATTATGTTGTTCTGTCATGTCTACAGTAATTTTATGGTGTCTTCAAGAATGAGAAGCAATAAAAACATCCCAATATAACAGTACAGCATGTTATTGCCAATGTAGAACACTTGTGCTGTCCAGCACTGCAGACGTGCAGCTTTTAGCTATTACTGCAGTGCTGAGCTTAAGCTAGTAAACTTGCTTGCTTCTGGTGCTGATTTGTGCTGACTTAACTTGGGAGTGCCCTCTTGTGCTCCCAATTCCAAGGTAAGCTTATCTACTTCATTTGTCTCCTCTTAAGAGGGCTATACCACCTATTTGTAGCAGAAAGCTTGCTTTACTCTTGATCATTTTATAGCTGGATAGCAATCTGGAATCATAGAAGAGGAGGCTTAAATAGCCAAGTCAAACTCTCTCAAACAGAGGTCAAAGACTTAAACGAGCATCTCCCATATATTCCTGCTGCCACAAGGGATCAGATCATGCCATTGTCAGGAGTTGTAGCTCATGACAGCAGTGAAGCTCCTTCTGTATAGTAAAATGACTTATAATTTGCAGGTCCTGCTTCTGATCTGATTTCTCCAGTATCAATAGCTGTTTTGTAAAGCTGTTTGTGTATGTGGGAGGTGTATATTTTTTTGTTTTGGGGTTTTTTTTGAGCCTATTTATGATAAGAAAAGCTTAATATTGTTAATACCTAGCTCTTTGCAAATTTGAGCTACAGGTTGCCTTGGAAACTGCATTTAGCACAGAATTATCCACTAAAGACTCTTGTACTTGCTTGTTACAGATTTTTTGTGAATTAATACTGAACATGGGAAACTGAGTTTCTTCTAGTAGAATTGTGTATTGTCTACTACATTGCTGTGAGGGAGGGAAGACGGAGCTCTGAAAGCACAGCCAATTGCTTCTAGGTTGCCAGGACTGACAGGACTTTCAATGTGGTTCTCTCCATGCAGCAAAAGAGTTTGGAAGGCAGTGTATTGTCACTCTCCCTTAGTACCTGACATGTTGGGCCATAGGGTTGATAATTAAGGAAGATGTGTTACAGGAACCCTTGTTGTCTTGTGATTTGAAGAATTGTTGCTCTCTTGTTCAGCACAGCACTAATATTTTAATTCTGCATGCAAATGATTGACTTATCCTTTACACTTGCCTGTCATTGAAATTTATTGCTTGTTTCCTTCAACTATAAATATGAATCCATCAAAACGAGTAACAGGTAGAGCCAGATGGTCTAATTATATTTTGGTTTCTGATAGATATTTGGTTCTATATAACTTGCAGCAAGGGTTAAGGATTTTTTTAAAATTAAAACTGCTTGTATCCTTCAAAGTTGGTGGCTGCTTTAGAAATAACTATTAAAAAAAGGCACTGTTCTCTAATGCCTAGCGATCTGAAGATGTGGTCTGCCTTCAGGAAAGGATTTTTCGTACAGTCACATCATTTAGCTGAGATAAATGAACTTGCCACGTGTCAGTCACTTTAGGATTCTCTGTAGAGGCAAGCTGAAAAGTTAGTGTTGCAGGCTTTCAAGCTGGAAGCTCTTCAACAAAGCATCGTCTGTCCATCTGGCCAACAAATGAGGGCAACCTCACATTTTTCTATCTCCAACTTTTTTACTTGACAGTCTTTCTCTGTAGCTGTCATACTATTTGCAATAAGGGACTTGCACTCCCTGCAACTCCTACAAAATAAATAATACAGTTCTTTTTACGTTTAAAATATAGAAGCTTGTCATATGTGGTGTTTCCTTTTGCAAATTATAGAATGCAGGGAAAGAATCTTTCATTTTTTTTTAGTTGGAGACAGGAAAATTTTGTGTTACTAAATGAAAAATTTACAGTGGTGAAAATATGTACACTAAGTGCACAATATCTGTGTAAGTCCACATGTTAGTTGTATGTTCTAGGAAAACTTTAAATCGTACATGCAGCCTCTTACATTGGTTGTGAATGTTCTTCCACATGTTAAGATTTGTTGAGTCTTCATGCTCCTCCACAGAGTCCTGCCTGTAGCTCTCAATGTAGTTTGGAGAGGGTCACCTTGTCTGAGTTTAACAACTCTAGAGCCTCTAGATAGATCCTGATAACCTTACCCAGATGAAAAATGCTGGATGGACAGATGGGGAATGTGTGTGTAGCTTCTCTGACAAAATATGCAGACAACTGAAATAAGACTTTAGTATTAAATAGATGTGAATAATTTCAAGTCGTCTTTTCCACAAAAACAGAAAGAAGAAGGAAAAATTCAAGGACAGCTTAATAAGTCTGACTCTAACCAATATATCAGAGAACTGAAAGATCAGATAGCTGAGCTGCATCATGAGGTAAGTGATAAAATTCTACTGTCTTTGAGCACTTGCACCTTTTGTCAGATCTTTTAAGCACAGTAGGTTTTGCTTATCTGATAGCTTTTATAGTTCTAGTACCTAATTTTGCCAGTATAAAGTATATTTAAATACTTCTTGTATATGAATCTTGCCATTATAAACTAAGATGCAAAACAACAAAATATGTTCAACTACAATAACTGCATAGCTTTGCATTAAAATTAGATTATTAATATACCCACTTTTTTCTTAATTTTATAATTTGATCAACTGTTGTGTTGCATGTACTGCCCTTGAAACGCTGTCTGAAATAAGCTTGTCTGCTGCACTTTTGAAGGCTAACTGAATTAAAAACTACATTGCACTTGCACTATCAGAAGACTATGTGGAGATTTTTAGTACTTGCTGTTGTGGCGATGAATTGTGTGATGCTGTACTGAGATTGCTTAAAAAGAAAAAGGATGCTTGCTCAATGTCAGTTAACAGATTAAGTTATAAAAACTGCCAAAACCTTTGACCTATGAAATTTCTGTCTTCAAACTTCCGTGCTGTAGTAGTTGTAGTAACTTGTTAGTTAAAAAGATTAGAAGATCCTGAAACCGGCTTATGTAACTGGCTGCTCATTGGCTCATTTCAGTTCATCCTGCACTATGAAGAAATGTCTTTACTTAACTGCACTGTGTGCAAAAGTTGTCTCTGTATTTTAGACTGCTTCCTAAGCCTTCTAATGCCCAGTTTTGACGACTACTGCTTAAACTCATAGTAAGAGACAGCAATGCAACTCTGTTAATATTTGCTGCCCTTGTTAAATAATCACATCCTTTAAGTATAGTTTTTTCCATAGCCGTCTTTGTAGATGCCACCTTTCTACACTCCCTCCCTTGAGAATATAGTGAAAGATTGTGGAATATTGTCTGTGCCATAGATAAAGGATAGTCTCTAGGGCCATTTGCCCAGCACCTTTGCCAGTCACTAAGCTCATTTAATAATAGATTTAAAATCAATAATCATTTCCATTAAAGGACTATAACCAGCTTTATGAGAAGGTAAACTGCTTGCAGAATATTTTGCAAAAGCAAAATACTATATGTAACTTAGGAACTGTACTGACTCTTTCTGTTCAGTCTAAACTTCAAAGAAGAAACAAGTTCTTCCAAAAAAAATGTGTGATTGCTGTTGTAAAGCTGCTGTATAGTTTTCTCTATACAAGAATTTGTTGTATGCCTGGTTGAGCAACATGAGTTTCATGAAGACACAAACATGTTACATGTTTTTATATATAAACTTAATATGACCAAGTCATATTGGATGATTGGATGGGTTAGAACAAAGAGGCAATTCATTAGCTGACAGAACAATGATTGATTCCAAGTAATACGGGTAGTTTCTAACCAGTTAAGTCTAGACAAGTCTTTATTGCTTGCAAGAAAATGTCATGTAGGGAGAATGAATTTCGGCCATAGCAGAATGGGAGTAACTCCATGTAGAAGACCAATCTTCCACCAGAGGTGCACTCCCTAACTATGGCTCCGTTCATTTCCAAGCTAGTTAAGCACTACAGGATAGAAGAGGATTCCAGGATAGGTAGAAATAGTAGGCAAGAATTCTGTACATTAGTTCTATGCTGATAGCATCTTTGCTTTGTTACACACTTTAAGTCTGGAATCCTTGCTTATGAATGACTCGTTTTTATTGCTCTAATATATCTGCTGGTTATTTCTAGTTTATTTCTAGTACTTAAATAAAACCTTGCGAGGAAAAGTAATGCTTCATGCACAGTCATTTATTTTGTGCCTAATGCACTGGGCTGACTTTGAGGTAATGTATGTCTAAAGTGTTTATGGGTGAGTTCTAATGATAACTGTGAAGTCTTGGATTAACACTAAGCGAAGTAGTGCATGCAGTCTTTCTTGAAAGAGCGATATCTGGGTAAACTGGAAAAAGGAAGATACAAAAATGCTTATCCTTGGTTGCTGAATGTTAGGATTAATGTGCTTTGGCCAGTACCAATTAAATCAAGCAATTTCCAGAATTTGCACCTGGGTACCTGTCAGTGTAGGTCCACCAGTGACCATGCTCCCTGCTCTCTGGTTAACTGCTGTTTGATTCTACTTCTGCAAACTGAAAAGACATGATACAAACAAATTTGCCAATTGATCTCCCTGAAGATAGGGTGACTGTGTATGACATGCTGACCGCAACCTCGCAACTACCTAACATCTAAAAGACACAGAAATGGAATTCTTTGTGACTATGAAATTATCATTTAATACAATGTAATTGCAGAACTTTTTGTATTAATTTGTGTACAGTTTAGCTATAGTTTCATGAAAGAGGGAAGGAAAGCAAGACTAAAGGCTTTGGAATGGTCATTCATATGATGATTCTGCATGTTGAACCTTTTAACCTCAAGTACTGCATTTGTACAGAAATTTACATCAGAAGAATTGCAAGTCTTTCATGCAAAAGATGGAACATAGAATAATGAACAAATAATGCTAAATGTAAATGGTGCCCATACTGTGGCCCTCTAATAACCACTCTTTCACTCTTCTTTAGCCAGCTGTGTGTGTGTTTATGTGTGTGTCTGTGTGTGTGCTTCTGTCTGAGTAGAAGCCGAAGGAGCTAGAGATTAATTCTGTCCAGCAATATGATCCATTAGATGGTGATGGCACCGTGATGTGGTAATTGCCAAATTCAATTCTCCTATGTTATCAATATTTGCAAACCAGGCATAGTGCAAATATAGAATGTCTATGAGGAAAACCAGTAGGATTGCTAGGTACCAGCATAGTGGGTTGCTCTTTCTGCCCAGGGCTTACAGCTTAATTTTCTTAGCCAATAGTGAGTGTTGAGGTACAGGAGCAACATACTGCTGCTATGCTTCACATCCTCCCTTTGATAGAAAGCAGAGGTTTGACACCCAGATTTCAGCTCCTTCTGATCTGTTCCAGTGTATTAACCCAAGCAACTACATATTAGAGCACTGCAGCATAATTAAGGTAATTGTATAAAAGCTGTTTGTATTTCTGAAGACCTCTGAACCACTGCCTATTTTAGCTCTGAGTCCATTCCTATGCCTCTCAGATGTGATAAATATTAACTGATTGCACTTAATTACCTATATCAATATATATACCTGTATCAGAAGTGGTGTATGATGAAGAGCATTTGCAGAAATAGATGGCTGTACTTCGACTTAGCAGTAGTTACTACTGTGAAATTGTGTGTATTTACAGTGCCATGTTACAGTGCTGCACTTCCTTCCTTATTGGCTGAGTCATTTTATTGGCCAAGAAACTGTTAGATGCTTATATCTTACAGCTTTATTGTAGAAGGCTGAAACTGTAGGTTGAAAATATGAAACTGAGGATTGTCACTGATTCAAACGAAGAAGTCCTGACCTGAATTTCCTTTGGAGTTTTTAATATGCACCTAACTTCAACCCAGTGAGACTTTTCAGCAATGTATGACCCTTGGCCATTTGTTCTTTTCATTAATCAACATCTTCCCATCTCGCAATTTTCTTCCCTCCTCTGTTTTCTTTTTACTGCTAAAGCTATTTCTATGGCATTTCTGACCTCTGCTAGTTTAGCAGGAATTAGCAGGAACTAGAATGGTTTTTTGTACTGCTGAAGGCTTTACAGGATGCAGCTTCTGTTCTTTATTCTTTCTGTTTTCCTGTAAGTGTTCTGCCTGTCAGAAGTGTGATTCCCTGATCACTGGCAGAATAGAATTTATACTTTAAATTGTAAGGTCAAGTGATCTTTAGCTTGACCTTAAATGGCTTGAGTAGACACTGCAGGACTTAGAATTTGGGTTACATGCTGTATGAAGTGTGCTAGTTCTAGGATGCTCTACTTGATTAGGTAGCGAGAGGTTAAGTAAAAGACCTTCTTAGGAAGTTTGTGTTTCTTCCTATTCAGAGAGATATTCCACTTTAGGATGTAGTACTAAAGTAGTTAATGTACTTCAGAGAAAATGTATACAAGGTTTGAATTGTTCAGAATTTTCATTACACAAAGTTGAAAGTTTAAGATAAACTGACAGGATAATCTTGAACAAATTATTGTTCATTTCAGTGTAAATCACATACTGGGACAGAAGAAAAGCGGGAGGTACTTTGCTACTTTCTACTTGAAATCCAAACTGAATGGAATTAAATGATTTATAAACTTCAAGTTCTCCATTTTATGTACTACCTCTTTGTATACACAGTCACTTTATATATTACACAGCAGCTGTCTCTGCTTCCTGTTGGATGTTGCAAGGCTTGTATGTGTTACCTAGATTACAGGAGTGGTACAAGAGATTAGAATTGACATGCTTACCCACAAACTACACTGGCAGACCACAAGACACCTTTGGAGACAAAAGCAAGTTTAAGAATAGTGGTTTTTATTCTTACAGACTTTGTGATTTAGGACTGAAGTGCTTAAGTTTAAATTTTTCTCCCAATGAAACTTTACAAAATACTTTTTAAAAACAGTTTATAAAAGAATATAAATTCTTTGTTTTTGTATCATTAGGAGTATTTTGTAAGTTTAGTTTGCTAAAATTTAGCTACTCTCTATCTGGTGCCTTCAAGAGGAGGAATACAGATGTTGACAACAACCTTAAAATTCACTTCAACACTTTCCTCCATTCTTCCAGGTGTAATCCTGGCACCTTTTTGGAAACATGCTCTTGATCTTTTTAAGCAAAGAATGATTTCCCAGATTTTTGTAGGATTGATAAGACTCAAGCAGAGAGGGTAGCTTCTGGGAATGTTATCTGCAAATTTGGGAGTGGGAGAATAGCTTTGAGTATAACCTTCAAAATATACTGTAATCTTTGTTCTTCGTCTCTTGCCATTCACAGGGAATACAAAACTGACTGTCCTAGATGTTCGTATGTAATAATATGCACTTAGAAAATTATTTTAAAATTTCAACAGAAAAGATGAACTTGTTTACTAATGTGTAAGTCTTATGCATTTGTGTTTGAAATGTGACTAA